AAATGTTCTTTTAATTAGTCTTTATAAATGGAACAAAATTACTTTAGATTAGGAAAAATTAAAAAATAGCAAATACTAAACAATACATTGCAAACAATAAATATATACATAAATAAAAGATACATTGACAAAAATATTACTTTCGTAATAGTAAAATATACTAAGAAATAATATATTCTGTCAATGGTGTCACTATGTTGTTGGGGTTCCTTCCCTGTTTTTAGAGAAATTTTAATGTTTCAATAGAAAATTTACGGTATTCTTCTTTAATCGAATTATTAAAAAGTTTATTATTTTTAATTTAATTTAATTATTAAACTACTAAAAGCTCAAAATTGTACTTAAGAATGTATGAATATATTAATTGTAAGTAATTAAAAATAAAGAAAATGAATTCACGAATAACTGTCTCAAACAGGGAAGGGCGTAAATAAAAAAGGACTCACTCAAAACCTCTCTCTGAAGATCACTCTTTGTTCCGTTAAATCCTATGCGATTTCCCACGTTGTCCAGGGACCACTCTTCTTCTCGTCCACCTTCTTGTCCTTTAGATTGTTCTTCGCTGATAAACAAACAAATAAAAAATTTCTTATTATCAGCTATACAGGAATTAATTTTTATACACGAAAAAAATTAAATCTGCGAATTTTTAAGAACTTTCTAGACTAGTGGATACGGCCTTTCCCAAAACGGAGTTCGATATAAAATGTGGGGAATAGTACAGAATAAATTTCCGAAATGTTGAGTATTTTTTCTAAAACTTCTAAAAGTTTATTCTAATAAATATTTGAATTTATCACTCGGTCGTCTTAGTTATAAAATATAAAACATTGAGTTGAACGATTCAACTCAATGTTTTATATTTATTCTGAAAAATTCATCGCATTTTACAGAACTTCGTTTCGTGAATGACTGTATTCGCTAGTAAAAAACGTTCTGTAAAATTCACTGAATTATTTTCTTCTGTGTATATTATATCACCTTTAAAAAATTATTTCTCCTTGGAGAAACTGTCTGTAAAGTTTTTTGAAAAATATAATTAAGAGTTTTATGTAAAATTATTGAATATAAATATTTATTATTAAATTATAAAATATAAATTTAAAAAAATGGGAAAAAAATAAATATAAATTATTAACTCGGCGATTCAAATGTAAAAATTGACTCTATGCCTTGGCTCATCGTTTATTGAAGGTAATGATCCTAAAGTTCTGAACGCTTATATGAATGGAATTTAATCACTTTTTCTTGAAATTAAATTTTTATTATAATTAATTTTGCTTGACTATCAAAAAAAATTAATTATAAAGTTTCTAAATGTAAAAATTTTAATTTTTAATTTGTATTGAAATCTGTAATTTATGGAAATATTTTTAATAAAAAACATTTTTTTCATTTCAAAGTTGAAAACTTGTGGATCATATGAAGATACTTAAAAATAACAAAATAGAAAAAGACTTACATTTGCGAATTTGCGTATTGTGGAAGAGTCCTAATGATAGCATATCCCAGCATCCCTATTCTCAAATGGACGAGTCTTTCCTATCCTGTTCCAAATATCTGAAAAAATGTAGAAAAAAATATTATTTATTACACTGTATTTAAAGTAAAATATTATTTATCCGTTATTACAACACTAATTACTTAATTAAACTCAACTTTACAGTACCATAAACATATCATTAATACCTAATAAATTCTATTTTGATATGACTAATTATTAATTTTCATAACACTAATTAAATCTCTAATAATTATATTACAATAATCACAGTTGCATTATAACTGAATCAGTATTAACATTACTAATTACTTCATTAGTACATTACAAAACTCGAATTTTTAGTGGATAAATAGTTGCATATAATCAAAATAAATACTTAAACTTTTACTTTATTTTCGTAAATTTATGGAAAAAAAAAAAAAAAAAGATTTCAAAAGAAATAAAATAAAATACAAAGAAAAATTACTTACCAATTGTTGATTTTCTCAAAAAATGATGATTAGCATTCCCTGCCTGCAGAAATCACTCTCTGCATTTATTGATTTTCTTAATGGACCAGCATTTTTTTGGATCCTTAAGTTTTACTGTAAAATAGAGAAAATAATGTATAATCGACACATTGGAAAAATTTGATTCAAATAATCGATTAATTGAATATTATCAATTAAATATTTAATTGAATCAAATAATATTTATTGGAGTCAATTAAATGGTATTTGAACCAATAAATTCAGTATTTGAAGCAAATACCATTTAATTGACTCCAATAAATATTATTTGATTCAAGTAAATATTTAATTGATAATAGTCTTAATCGGTTATTTGAATCAATTAAATTTTTTTTTCATTGCATAAATGAAATTAATCTGTTAATTATAATATGTGTATGTAATTATAAACAAGAAATAAACTTCCCATTCACAATTAAATGTATTCGATCTTCTTCACATTTCGTCTCTGAAATTGATTGGAGCGATTAACAATCAAAGTTCAATGTGTAAATGAACAACTGAAAAATAAAAAAATTATTGATTATTTATAAACTAATATATTTTTCGATTTATGAATCAGAAGAAATTTTTTACCTTTAAACAGTGGATACCTTTAAATAGGAACGTCTCCAATTTCAACATTTTGGGGGAATTGAAATTGTTAACTTAAAATAGGGGAAATTATAATACATTTTAAGGTTATGTTTACTTGAAAACTGTGACGTCACGATAACATGTAAGTTTCAGGAAACTTTAAGCAAACTTGCAGTGCAAGCTTGCTGCAAGTAGCAAATGCCCTCAAAATACGTACTAGCTAAGCCTACTGCAGGTTTGTTACAAGTTTATTACTAGGAATTTTGATAACACTTTTCATCTTGCGGCAAGCTTGCACTGCAAGTTTGCTCAAAGTTTTCTGAAAACTTACAGAATACTACGTCATACGTGGGATGTTAAAATAGAGAAAAGTTAAAATTAAAGGCGTTCTCTAAACTTCAAGTATATTTGGATACATATATATATCCAAATAAGCTTGAAGTTTCCAGTAAACTTGCATAAAGTTTGCAAAACTTACAGTGCAAGTTTACAGGTTAACTGGATATTAAATTTGACTTTTGTACCTTTTGTACTTTTCTTACCGACCCTAACCGCTGAATGACGATTTCACAACTCGGACTGCAATTTTTCAAACTGAGATTAAATTTTAATTAGTTTTTAGGTTATCCGAATTTTATGTATTATTTCATTGAAAACAAATAAGATATTCATTATCAACAATCTTAATGAATATCTGAAATTATTTTAGCCGTTCACTGTGCGACAATGCGGAAAAGTAACATCAACAAGTTTCGACTTGTTGATCCACTTCAAGTGAACAAAGTGAAAAAAATGTCAAAATTCATTAAAAAGACCACTAAAATATAAAAAAGGACAATTTTTAAAAGAGATTGAATGTGAAATTACAAATTTTCAACCTTTTTTTATCGGGAAATGAGATTCAATAAAATCCGATCTGAACTTTAAAGGTTATAAGTCCCCTATTGTGAAATCGTACATTTATGACATATTTCTATTAAATAAACCCCAAATGTCTTTGGAATAATGTTAATTTACCAAAATTAATAACAATTATGCTAGAAATTACGATTAAATATGCAGATTACAAACGATACCTACTGAAAGTTGAGAACACCGACGTTCCGTGTTGCCGTTCAAACCGTTCAAACGACTTCTGTGTAATGTGAAGTTTGCTGCATATTATATCGAACTCAGCATATCGATATTAATCGAAATTTGATTTTTTCTCAAATTCAAATTTCGCAATTGAGCAATTAACAATTATAAAAAAAATAATAAAATACATAAATAAACAAAATTTAAAAAAATTAACAAATTTAAAAGAATATCCAATTAATTAATGTCCATTTTTCTAATTTAAATTTCTTTAGAAACTATATAAATATTATAAAATTCAAACATTAGCTAACAAATAAACGTATCGTAATTATATTTATATAAGATTTTTCTAAACTTTTAATTCAAATTCATATTGAAATTAATTATCATTTAATTTTAAATTAAAATTAATTTATTAAATTAATTTAATTAATATTAATTTATTAAATTAATTTAAATTAAACGTATTATTTAGCAAAAATTTTCAATTAGATATTGCTTTCAATTTGTTTAACAAATTTAAAAGCATTACACACCACTTCTACAAAAAAAGTAAAAACAAAAATACACATAAAATATACAAAAATATAAAATATCTGCGAAATTACAAAATTTAGACAAATAGAAATAGCAAAAATGTACAATTATGAAAATAATTTTAAATTTGCTTAACAAAATAACAAACTTTGCATGATTTAAAAATAAGAAAAAAATATTGCAAAAAGCATTACTTATTTTACAAGTAAAAAAATATAAATTAAAGAATAAATAAAGATTTACAAGCACAAAAAACCACGAAGTTAAATAAAATTAAATAAAAAATTTGTTAACCATCACCGTAGGAAAATTTTTAAATTATGCATAATTTGTTTAACAAAATTACACAATTAATACACCACATTTTACAAAAAGCATAAAAAAATTTCAAAAAACAAAATAGAAATAAAAAAAAATATAAAAAAAAGTATAAGAAAATACAAACTATATAAAACTATTGAACATTGCTTCATAATTGTTTATTTATGTTCAATAAATAAACAATTGTAAAGCAATATTTACAAAATTAAAAAAAGAAATCCAAAATGAAAATTTTACTCTATTGACATAAAAGTTTATCAATTTTGTATAATTTTCAATTTGTTTACAAAATATTTCATGTTCACTTACATATTTGTGTAAAATAAATAAGCAATTGTAAAATAAAAAAATTTTCAGAAAAAAAACAAATACAATATTGCTTAACAAATATAAACACTAAATGTGCAGTTAAAAAAATTATTTTATCCAAGGAAAGTAATCTTTTAATATTGACAAAAGATTAAAATCCAATATTATTATAAAGACGCTGCGTTTTATTGATTTACAATCTACATAGATTAAATCTAACTTATTAAAAATATCTCATTAAATATGCACCTCACCAATTTCAACTAACTTCCATTCAACGATTAATTATTGCCGATTCATATAAGAATTGAAAGTACAACTTATAAAAAAAGTATCTTTAATTCGAGTATCGAAAGTCTTGATCACGCGAAACATTAAAGAAAAACTTGTATCATAAATACAAATATGGTCAGAAAACAAACGGGATTTTCTTTGCACTTTAAAATCACCGTGATTAAAAAAAAAAGAAAAGAAAATTTACACTAAATTATTTTTAAGTAACCATGAGGCGAGGAGCAATATTCATAGCCATCAATTCTTGGAAAAGAAGTTTAGCAGCATAAGGAAGCCTGACTTGAGATATTTGTGTCTTGTTTTTACAGCCTCTGCACTCGAAAGTGTTGTTTCTTAAGTTTGCAATGGCAATTAAACCGCAGAAATTGCAAACATGAATTCTGTACGGATCCGAAACTTCAAAAAGACGTTCGCGCAAAAATTGTGCTGCTCCGTGAGAAATTTGACAATCACGTTCCATCTCTCCAAAACGTAATCCCCCATCTCTGAAATTAAAGAAAAAATTTTGTGTTATAACAGGTAAGAATGTCAAAGGTTTGAAAATTAAAAAAACGAGAATAATTAAGTTCTGAGTACTGACCTTGCCCTTCCCTCCATGGGTTGTCTGACTAAAATCTGAACTGGACCTCTTGCTCTGCTGTGAATTTTATCGTCCACCATGTGCTTCAAACGTTGATAATAAGTTGGACCCAAGAAAACTTGAGCGTTAATCTTTCTTCCAGTGTGACCATTATACATTACTTCGTTTCCTCTCAATTGATAACCGTATTCTTGTAAGAGTGTTGAAATTTTTTGTACGTTGACAGCATCGTTGAATGGTGTAGCGTCACCGATTTCACCTGAAAAATAAATGAATTTAACAATTAATTATTAATGATAATGAAATGAATTTTAATTATTAATTAAATTAGATTTTTTTTAATTAACGGGAAATATTTTTGATTTTATTTTTGTATGTAATTAAAAGAATTTTTTTAAATACCTTTATTGGCGGAAACTTTTCCTTGAATGCACTCGATCAAATGGCCAATTGTCATACGAGATGGAATAGCGTGAGGATTGATGATAATATCAGGTGTGAGTCCCTCGCAGGAGAAGGGCATATCTTCTTGTCTGTACTGAATACCACACGTTCCTTTCTGTCCGTGACGTGAGGCAAACTTATCTCCAATTTGTGGAATACGAACACTTCGTACTCTGATTTTACAAAATTTGTATCCTTCGCTGTTCAGCGTCAACATCACTTGATCCACAATACCAGTTTCACTATTACGCAGAAAAGTGGAGGCATCTCTCTTCGTGAAACGTTTCGTCGTACTGTCCAACTGCAAAAAAAGAATAATAACAATTAAATTTTCCATAAGTTAAAAGATTTAAAATTCGTTACAGCAAATTCAGGGTTGCCACGCTTTTGTTTATTTCAAATTCCCTGACTTTTCCAGGTTTTCCAGATTAAAAAACGGAATTTTTCCAGGTTTTTAAAACTACATTTATATTTTACAAAATTAAATAATTATTCATTATAATTTTTCCAAAAGAATTAAGATTTTTAAAAATTTCAAATTCAAACCTTTTTGAAATTAAACAACTTAAAAAATTCCTATATAAAACATGAAGAAATCGATCACTCCGAGTCCTCGACTCGGAGCAATTATAAGAATATTGTTACTCTAACTTCTTCAAAATTATTTTCATTAATTCAATTCAATTATTGTTTTCCAGAATTTTTAACTCAAAATCTTCTTTCAATGAATTATTTTTAATACTTTTTGAAAAAGTTCTTTGAGAATTTTCATATCTATTTGCTTACAATTAAATTTTACAAAATTCCATCGATTATTAGAAAATTCTTCAATTAAAAATATATTAGAAAATAAGAACTTCAAATCACTTTAAAAATGTCCTATTAAACTTTTTTAAAAAAATTAAATCTACACAATTTTCAGTTAAAAGTATAAAAAATTGAAACATTCAAAGATTATAATTTGAAACCTTTTTAAAATTTAATTACATATTTCTAAAAATTCTTAGTAAAATTAGTAAATTTTACTAAAATCCGCAGATTCAAAAGCAAAAAGTCAGTCACTAATCAGGGTTTCTTCAGAAATCCGAACTTAAAATTCCATACCTTTTTCATGATTTCCAGGTCAAAATTTTAGGAAATTCCACTGGAATTTTAAATTGAATTTGCACCCTTTGGTGGAAAATTTAAAATTATCAAAAATTATCAAAAATTCGAAAAACCGATTTTTTTAAAATTCAACATTTTTTCTTCTCTTTTATGGCATTTAGCTTCAATATTTTTGGGCTCCTCAAAAACAATTTACTTAATTAATAGTCTCCAACCTTTGGTAAAAAATTTAAAATTATTAAAAATTATCAAAAATTCGAAAAACCGATTTTTTTAAAATTCAACATTTTTTCTTCTCTTTTATGGCATTTTGCTTCATTATTTTTGGGCTCTTCAAAAAGACTTTACTTATTTAATAATCTGCAACCTTTGGTAAAATATCTAAAATTATCAAAAATTCGAAAAACCGAATTTCTTAAAATTCAATATTTTATCTTCTCTTTTATTGCATTTAGCTTTATTATTTTTGTGCTCTTCAAAAACACTTTACTTATTTAATAGTCTTCTCCCTTTGGTAAAAAATCTAAATTAGTCAAAAATTCGAAAAATCGATTTTTTTAAAATTCAACATTTTGTCTTCTCTTTTATTGCATTTAGGATTTAGCTTTATTATTTTTGTGCTCTTCAAAAACACTTTACTTATTTAATAGTCTCCACCCTTTAGTAAAATGATCAAAAATTCGAAAAACAGATTTTTTTAAAATTCAACAATCTTTTCTTTTTTTTATGACATTTAGCTTCAATATTTTTGGGCTCTTTAAAACACTTTACTGATTTAATAGTCTCCATCCTTTAGTAAAAAATCTAAAATTATCAAAAATTATCAAAAATTCGAAAAACTGATTTTTTTAAAAATCAACAATTTTCCTTCTCTTTTATGGCATTTAGCTTCAATATTTTTGGGCTCTTCAAAAACACTTTACTTTTTTAACCCTCACAGGCTCGAGTTCGATTTTTGAAATGCGCGCACAAGGTGGGTCCGAGGGACCCGGATGTTTCAATGCAATAAAAAATAAAATTTAATAGCAAAATGCTTCATATTTTCCATATTTAATACAATTTTAATGATATAATTGCATAAAAATTTTTAAATATTAAAAAGTAATCAAGATATAACTAAAATTTGTTTAATAAATTTAATGAGTAATTTTGAATAAATCGAACTACATACTTATTAAGCAAGATTTTTTTAATGTTTATTTTTTGTTCTATTAAATTTACCGATGTATTAAGCATATGTTATCACTTATTATGGCAGTTGTTGATAAAAATACCATAAATAAATCCAATATTGCATAAAAATTGCAAATTTTTAAATTTTTTTTCATAGCCCGGGTCCCTCGGACCCGGCTTGAGCCCTTACGTATGTTCGACTTAAAAGGTAATTTTTCAGAATATTTTATAAATAAAGAATTGTTTATATTGATGAAAAATGTGTGTTTTTACGTCCCCAAGCCTAATGTGAAGTTGATTTTCCAATAATATTTTTTTAACCGGAAGTAGATCAAAAAAACTTTCCTCCGGGTCCGAGGGACCCGGCTCGAGCCCGTGAGGGTTAATAGTCTCCACCCTTTGGTAAAAAATCTAAATTAGTCAAAAATTCGAAAAACCGATTTTTTTTAGAATTCAACATTTTTTCTTCTCTTTTATGGCATTTTTTAAAAAAATTTGATTATTTATGAAAAAATTGAATTATTGCGAAGAAATTTATGAAGAATTTGTAAATAGTAGAATTTCTGTGACATTTTTATTATCTATGAAAATAATTGAAAAATTATAAATTTTTTAATTATTTATCAAAATAATTAAATCTTTTTAAAAAATTTGATTATTTATGAAAATAATTGAATTATTGCGAAGAAATTTATAAAGAATTTGTAAATAATAGAATTCCTGTGAAATTTTTATTGTCTATGAAAATAATTGAATGTTTGCGTAGAATTTTATTCAAATTTTTTTTGAATAATGGAATTCTTTTGGAAAATTGAAATATTGCGAAGAAAAATTGTAAACGCAACTTTTTTAAAATTGAATTAATTTAAAAATATTTAAGAAAAATTAGATTTCAAGAATAAGCACGATAAATTAAAAAAACAATAATTTTCCAGGATTTCGATCAAATTTCCCTGATTTTTTCAGGTTTGTCAAGGTTTATAAAATTCCCTGACATTTCCAGGTTTCTAGGTTGCGTGGCAACCCTGCAATAATAAAGCAATTTACAGCAATCAACAAATAGAAATTTTTCTCACCTCGTCATCAGTTTCAGGCAAAGTTATCGTCTTTCCAATGACGACATCATCACCAGAGACACGAATACCAGGCGCAATTATACCATCATCATCCAATTTGTCATAAATTGCATTTCGCATTCCTTGGCACGATTGTCGTGTTGGCTTCTCGAACTGCTCCTCCTGATTGTCCATTCGTTTCGACTCGGAATCCTTATAAGACCGATAGAAAACGGATCTGAAAAATCCTCTCTCGACAGCACTGGCGTTCAGGATGACACTGTCCTCTTGATTGTACCCCGTATAACACAAAATAGCAACAATACTGTTGATTCCAGCCGGAAGTTCTCTGAACCTAAGATACTCCATAGATCGTGTCGTGACAAGCGGCTTATGTGGATAATACAAAACGTGAGCCAAAGTGTCCATCCGCACGTGGAAATTCGTAATATAAACACCCATGGCCTGTTTACCCATAGCACTTTGATAAGTATTTCTCGGACTTTGATTGTGATCAGGGAATGGAATGATCGAAGCGCAAACACCAAGAATCATCGCCGGATGAATTTCACAATGCGTATACGTCGTACAGTAGGCATATTCCTTTTCCTGTCTCAGATCATCAGGCGACATTGCAATCATCACAGTCTCTTCCTCCAGTGTATCGATATACTCAACAACACCACTCAACACCAACGCTTGCCAACCGTCATACTCCTTCTCCTTCAACATCTTAATGTGCGACTGTCTCAACACAAGATTCTGTCCATTCACAATTAACAGAGGTCGACAAATTCTCCCCGCATCCGTGTAAATTCGAATCTCCCTGTCCCTGATGTCTCTAATCATCGAAACCTCAGACACAATGACGTCCATCTCTCTTCTCAATTTTCTCAGCGTAGCCATCAAATGATCCGGATCTCGATGTATACCAACCCAACAGCCATTTACGAAAATTTTCGTCGCATCGGCAATGGCACTCGACGCAATTTCCTCCAAGTTCTCCATGGACCACTCCTCCAAGAACTCCAAGATCGGTGAAGGTTGCGAGCCGACACTAATATAGGCCATCAAAGCTAAATTCTTGACAAGACCGACGGCGGCACCTTCTGGAGTCTCAGCGGGACACAACATTCCCCACAGGGTATTGTGAAGCTGACGTGGTTTCGCCAATTTACCATCACGCCCAATCGGCGAGTTCACTCTTCTCAAGTGAGACAATGTCGAAGCGAATGTCAATCTATTCAACACCTGAGAGACACCGGCTCTCGCCAAATGGGCCTTCTTCTGATCTCCCCAATTTCCAGTGGCCAATGAATATCTCAAACCGTCCGTTATTGTTTTAGTCTTGATAGCCAGCTCGAGATTAAAATCTTTTCCTCTGTCAATGAACTTTTGTGCGTACATTCGAACTTCCTTCATGAGATTTTTAAATAAACCTCGGAATAAAAGTGCAAGTAAGGGACCTGCGAGATCTAGACGTTTATTACCGTAGTGATCACGATCGTCGAGTTCACGTCTACCAAGAGCGGCTGATAGAAGTCTGTGAACCATGTAACCAAGGAAGTAAACTTTTTTTGTTTCGCAAAAATCACTGACACCAACGTGAGGTAACATTTCTTTTTGAAGAATTTCTCTTGCGTATTTAATACGATTATCTTTTTTCACACCGGCTTTTGCACCTCGAGCGCCTATGAAATCTAAAGCGACATTTTGCTCTTGAATCGAGAATGCCTCGTCGAGAGATGGTTTTACCATTTCCATCATTTCTGGATCATCGAAATCGTAAATAATGTGTTCTAAAATATCACGATCGGCTACGAAAGCAAAGGCACGGAATACAATCATCACGGGAATTTCCTGTTTGATGTAGGGAATGATTGCTATTATTCGCTGTCCAATTGTTGATTTTTTGATGCTCTGAAATAACAAAAAATTATTAATATTAACTTAAAAAAACAATTGTCTTGTTCTTTATGATTTAACACAAAAAATTGTTTTCAATGCTCAGCGTCCACGGATTTCTTTAATTGTAAAATTTTTTCTAGCACTTTTAAAAAAAATTCCCCGACCTGTAGCAACTATGTGCCAGGACCTTGTATTTTTCAAAAGAAAATAATTTTTTCAAATAAATGTTTAACTTACCGTAGCGCTCTTTGCCATCAAATTAATCCAAAGGGTAGATGTTGGTCGGGAACTGTGTTCCAAGCAAGAACGAATTTCAGCTTTGTAAGCATATTTTCCGTCTTTCATACTAAATACATAAACTGTGTTTGTTGCCATTTTCTCTTGTGCAATAAGAACCTAGAAAATAAACAGTTTTCTTGCAATTATTTGTGGTTTATTAAATTACTGGTCACTCTTCAAAAAAAATAAATTTAACAGGGTTGCCACAAAAATTTGTTTTGTTTTTCCCTGATTTCCAGACAAAATTTCAACTTTTTTCCTGACCCTAAAGAATATTCTGATTCACTCTAAAAATTATTAGATACTCAAAAAAATGTTCTATTACATTCACTTACGAATTTCCATAATTGTAAAATTTTTCAAAAACACGAATAACTTCATTTTTAAATAAATATTTAATCATTATTTTTTTTCCATGGGAACTTAGATTTTCAAAATTTCTAATTCAAACCTTTTGAAATTCAATAACTTATAAGAATATATTATATATTATAAAACATGAAGATATCGATCACTCCGAGTCTTCGACTCGGAGCAATCGATATCTTCATTTTTTATAAATAATTAAAAATGATCGACTGATAAAATCATTATTTTATACTATAAGAATATTGATACTGTAACTTCTTCAAAATTATTTTCATCATTTCAATTCAATTAATATTTTCTACAATTTTTAAATAAAATTTTTATTTAAATCAATTATTTTTAAAAATAATTTTTGATAAAGTTCTTTTGAGAATTTTCAAATTCATTTATTTACAATTCAATTTTACGAAATTTCGAATATTCGCAAATTCTTCAATTAAATATACATTAGAAAATAAAAAGTTGAAGTAATTTTAAAAAAATATCGATTAAGCTTTTTGAAAAAAATTAGTTTCATGGAATTTTTAATCAAAATTATGAAAAATTCAGATTTTCAAAGATTTTAATTTGAAACCTTTACAAAATTCAATTATTTTTCAGAATTGCAATTATTAGTAAGTTCTCAAAAATTAAATTATTATCTAAAACTTTAACTGAAGTTAATATTTAAATCAATTTTTATTAGAAAATTGTAAGAGAATTCAACTATTTAAATACAATCATAGATAATTTATTGAATAATTGAACGTTTCTTCAAATTTAATTCTCATAAAGAATTTTATCAACAAAATTTTTAAATAATTGAATTCTTTCGGCGAATTTCAATAACATTTTTAAGAATAATTACATTTTTCGAGGAACTCGATTAAAGTTGTATTAAAAATAATTGAAATTCAGCAATGAGTTTTATTATTTATAAAAATAATTTTATCATTTACGAAAATAATAATTTTATTCCTGTAAAAATTGTATTATTTATGAAAATAATTGAATTACTGCGAAGAAGTTTATAAAAAAGTTTCCAAGAATTAATTTTTTTCGAAAAAATTTATGAAAATTCTATTTTAAATAATTGAATTCCTTTGAAATTTTTATTTTTTTGGGAAAATAATTGAATGTTCGTGTAGAATATTATCAAAAATTTTGTTTAATAATTGAATTCTTTTGTGAAATATTATTAAAATAGAATATTGAAAGTCATTAAATTAAGAAAAATTTTTGAAAATAATTGAAATTTAGACATGAATTTTATTAAAATTTTCGAAAATAATTGAATTCTTGTGATGAATAAACAAATTTTATTATTTATGAAAATAATTGAATTTTGCAATGAATTTTATTAAAAGTCCTGAAAATAATTGAATTTTGTCGAAGAATTTTGCTATATAATTTTGCTTATAAAGATATTTGAAATTTTGACAATTTTTTTTTGTTTTTTTGAAAATAATTGAATTTTTGCCAAAAATTTTATTACTTTTGAAAATAATCAAATTCTTGTGATGAAATTTGATTTATGAAAATAATTGAATTTTACAATGAATTTTATAAAAATTCCTGAATATAATTGAATTTTGGCAAAGAATTTTGCTATTTATAAAGATAATTGAAATGTTGAGGAGAATTTTTGTTAACTTCTTGAAAATAATTGAATTTATGGAATGAATTTGATTATTTATTTAGATCTATCTTTAAGATAGAATTCTTTCAAATTGCGTTAAAATTTTTAAATTTTAAACTAATTTCAACCGAATTGAAATTAAAATTTTTCAAAAAAGTACTTTATTGAATGATTTATAAGTAATAACTTTATGTCAGTTGTTCAATGAAGTTAAGTTATTTAAAATAAATTATTGACAGAAATAGAAAAAATTTAAAGTTCTTTTAGAATTCTTGGTAATTTCATAGTTTATGAGGCAAACAAAAAGACACAAAAATTCAGAATTTTCTTATAAATTCTAAACATTTAATTTATTCCAGTACTTTTAATAAAAATTCCTGACTTTTCCCTGAATTCCCTGACCTGTGGCAAAGCTGTTTAAAAAATTTTATGACTTTTCTTTATTTATTAATCTGATTAATATTCTCACTTACCTTTTCTGATCCGTTAATAATAAAATATCCACCAGGATCCAAAGGACATTCGTTCAATTCAGTCAAATCACGATCCACCAAACTGTTGAGTAAACAATACTTTGATCTTAACATAATAGGCATTTTGCCAATGAATGCCTTTTGAAGTTGAGATTCTTTAAAAAAAGGAAAACATTGTTATTTATTAATTTTACAACAAAAATTGTATTTGATTTAAATTGTTGTATTTAAATTACAACGAAAATTTCTATTAAATTATTTTTAACTTACTGGTTGCTGCTTCTTCTTTGGAATCCTTATCTTTTGTAACACTTTTTGTAATGTCAACGTATAAAGGAGCGGAATAAGTTAAATTTCGAAGTCTCGCTTCATTAGGCATCATGGGTGATGGAGCACCATCTTTTTCCCAATGAGTGGGCTTTGATAAATAAATTTGCTCGAATTTTAATATGTGAACTGCGGATTTTTCAATTTCTCCTGAATTATGTTGAGCTTCAGCCTGTAGTTCTATTTGTTGTGAATCTTCGACAATCCTCTGAATTGTCATTTCAATAAATTCATCAAAACTGTCCAATTGCTGTCGTACAAGACCTTTCTCGTTGAAGTAGGCATTAATAACAATCCAACAGGCTTCCTGCCACAGTTTAGAGGAGATTTCTTCATCCTCAGCCTGCTCGCCATTTGCTAAAGAAAGAAATTTTTTTTACATGTAAGAAATAATAATGTAACAATAACATAATAGTCATTATTTGCATGAGACAATTGAATGGTAATTGTAGAAACAAGAAACAATCTAACTTTCTGTTGAGATGTCATGTAATAAACGTCACAACTCTTCAAGTTGCTACAAGTTATAAATTATTATAAATTAAAAGTATACCATATAGAAAGGGTTAAATAATTTAAATATAAGAGTAAAACACAAATAACGTTCAAGAAGACCAAATTTTTTAAGAAATGTTAATTAAAGAATGAGGCAAGTACTTAAAAAAACACCGCATTAAAACTTGTAACGTTTTGTCGGCATGAAAATAATATTTTTAAATGTCACCCTAATGTGTTGAAAATACAGTTGAATTGATATTTTAAACCATTGCTTAACGTTTTGAATAGTTAATATTCGTATAAAATTAGAATTAATCGATGAAAAATTGCAAAAATGAAACGCGATGGTTTATAGGTTAAGTTTCGCTTAATCAAAAAAAGCACTGTAACTACTACAGAAAATAACTAAATTATGAATAATTTTGATAAAACTTACCCTCCTCTTCCTCGTACATTGTGAATTATTTATTAAAACAATATATAAACTATTAAATTCAGTAATTTTATCAACAGTACGCAAAACACAACTGTTTTCACAATTACTATTATCCTATTATTATTATACAAGATGGCGGTGCTTCTTTCTTTACGCATGCGCGCTAAGCGTGACGCGCAAGCAAAGTCAAAGAGCGCCAAAATTCAAAAAGAAAATGTTAAAGGAAAAAAAAATTTTCAATAATAATGCTAATTATATGATAATAAAATTTATTCTTTAAATAAATCTCAGTACTACCTATATCTTACATTCTACCTAATATTAATTTACAACGTAGAAATTCGTAAAAAAAATTTTCTATCTTATATAAAATTCATATTCTTTTACGAATTTGTTTATTAGGTGATTTATTTTAATAATTTTTTAATAAAAATAAAAAAGAAGTTTTCTACACTAAAACGATGTACACCTGTTCAAATGCCAAAATATCTACAAATTTTACTATTTCAAATTGTACAAAAGACAATGAAGAATCTTTAAGTAAACACAATCGGTATTTAGGGGGAAAAGTTAAAGAATCGGAAGTGCCATTTAATATAATTAAAATTTCTAAGAATAAATTAGAGAAAATATTGCAAAATGATCTTACGATGAAATTTTCCAATAAATCATTGTTACAAAAAATTTGTTCAAATTCAAGAAGACATGAACATTTAAATTTAAAAAAAGATTGGGATCGGATTCCACAAGAGGTAACGAGATCGTTAATTCATTAATTTCAAGTAATTAAATTAATTAATCCGATAATTCATTAATTTCAAGTAATTAAATTAATTAATCCGATAATTAATGAATTCCAAGTAATTAAATTAATTAATCAGTTAATTAATTAATTTCAAGTAATTAAATTAATTAATTAGATAATTAATCAGGTTTCAAGTAATTAAATTAATCAATAAAATAATTAATTAGTTATAAGTATTTAAATTAATTAATCAGTTAATTAATTAATTGCATTCTAGAATTATGAAAATTATTAATTTTCAGTATAACTAAAATAATTAATCGAATAATTAATTAAATAGTTAATTAAATTCAAGTATATAATAAAATTAATTATCAAATTAATTAATCAGTTAATTTATTAATTAATTGCATTCTAGAATTATAAATATTATTATTAATTTTAAGTAACTAAATTAATTAATCGAATAATTAATTAATTTCAAGTATTTAGATTAATTAATTAGTTAATTAAATTTAAAGTAATGAAATTAATTATCAAATCATTTAATGAATTAATTAACTATTTTCCAGTACAAATAAAATTAATTAATTGTCTTCTGGAATTGTGAAAATTACTTTTAGATTAATTTTGATCTAGGTAAGAGAGGAAGTTTTAAAAGTGTCAAAGCAGAAAAAAGTAAGAAAATGCGAAAAAAATTATTCGAGTAAGTGTACTCAACAGTTAATTGAATTATATCACAATGCAAAATTGCTTCGAGAAAGAGCCGAAAAATTTGAATTAATTGAAAAAGAAGAAACATTTGAAATCAATAAATTAATGACAACAGAAACAGATAAAAATGGAGAAAAATTGAAAATAAATGCCAGCAATGAAAGATTAGAAATAAATCAAAATAATCATGTTTGTGACGAAAAAATTTCAATTTCTAATCTCTTAATGAGAAAATTGAATGATAAAAATAACAATACAAAAGAATTAAGAAAAATTTCTGAAAATGTAACGGGGAAATTAAAAATCCATATGGAATCGAATATTCAGAATAAAAATTCCTTCGCAGAATTGAAGAAAAAATTTCAAAGAATACAAAATTTAGTCAAAAATTATCAACCTCAGGGAAAAATATATAAATTAAAAAATGAACAACAAACGATAGACGTTGCCTTAATGAATCAATCACTATTTTTAGAAAAAGATATTTTGTGTAAAGCTAAAGAAGAAATTCAACGGAGATCAAAATGTAAAGAAGAAATGTCAAAAGAAGAAGAAACTTGCGATCTGGAAAGAACCAAAGAAAGACGATCTGACACTCTACTCCTTCTGAAATCGATAAATCTAATGGAAAATTACATCGAAGAATTAAAATTTCAATTATAAAAATTTCCAAATTCTAAAACAAATAATTCTAAACGAAATCCATCAATTAAATACAATTTCAAACGAATTATCAATTCTATAGTTTGACCATAAAATTAATAATTTAATAAACCACAAAATAAATAAAAAAACAATTCAAAAAAATTTTTTGACTAGCATTTATAAAACTTACAAATCAGTATCATTCATAAGATCATCAATGCCAAAACTAAATTTCTTTCCAGGCGTTACAACGATATCTGGCGTTGAAGTCCGTGCAATTTCCTCTTTTCCCAGATCAACCAATCTTTCATGAAGGGGTTTACAGTTGGAAATTAAAAGATCAAATTCATCAATTGATTCATCCTTGTCAGTCATTTTAAGTTTTTCTAGTGTTGATTTTCGAATTGATTTTCGAATTTCCTCTTCTTTGACTAATTTCATTTGGGGACTTTCCAAATTCATTGAACATTCACTTGAAAAATCGAACATATCAGATTCATCTGTATATTCTATTTCGTCTGGAATTATTCTCTCAATTTTGTCATCAGTTTCTTTAATGTTTTCCGTTTCCATTTGATTTGTACTTTGAGTGACAATTTCTTCATTTGCATTGTGAATGGATTTGTAAATTTGTGAATATTTGCGAATACTCTCTTTTTTCCTGTAACGATGATTTACAATTTGATTATCGTCGTCTTCATGCTTGGAATTTCGTCTGACTGTTTCTTCAATACCTTCAATATCTTCACTATTTTCGTTATTAAAATTATCAGTTTTCAACACTGAAGTTGTTTCATATTTTTCACAATTTTTATGCACAGAAATTTCAGAGCTATTAATATTATCCTCCGATTGTTGAGCAATTAGTAGAAGTTCTAATAATGAATTATCATCATTTGTGTCATCCGATAATTTCTTTTCCTTGGGTTCGAAATCAGATAAATTGAAAACTTCACTTTGTTCCCTATTTTCAATTTCATTGGTTTGAAAATTTACAATTGACCTCTCGGCAAACCGAAGATGTTCAAAAGATGAATTAAGAGAATCAATATCATCCGCAATATCCTTTTTTCTTGATTTTTTGAGAACAGCATCACTTCCAATGTCTTTTGTACAAGTAACAGTATCCTTAATGTCCCTAATTAGATTCTGAACATGTAGAGAACGTTCCAGAGAAAAATGTGACCGAATTCTATTTTTTTCACAATCTTTCCGATTTATCGTTTTTAAAACATTCTCGTGAAGGATTTTTGAATCTTTTTGCTCCGATGTTGTAGCTTCAGGTAAATCTCGAACAGTAGTCTTATCATCAACCAAATTTTCCTGATTTTCACTATCCTTAAATAGTTTCTGACCAAATAAGTAACGTTCCAACGAAGCATTAAGACGTTCAAATTTCTCCATAGAATCATCTTGATCGCAAGACTTGTTGTTCAATAAATTGGAAATTAACGCAGATCTTTTGAGACAATCGTCAGAAATCTTGTAATTCATTTTAGGTTCCGGAGAATTTTCCTTCTCGAAAGTAAAATTAATCGCATCGAATTTCTTTTTTGGCTTTTTGACAGCGAATACATTTGGTGATTTGATGAGAGTGAATGGTTTCTTCTTAGAATCTGCGACATTCTTGTGGGAATCTATAATTTGTTTTAGAGTGCAATCCATATTTTTTGATTCGTTCATTGTATTGACAGAAATTGAATTTTGGGACGTTTCTTCCATTTTTGAATGTAGGACCAGTTTTGATGTAACGGTAGAATTTTCAGAGACGATTTCAGACTTTAATTCGGATTTTAAATTTAATTTGGGCTCTGAATCGAATTGTGGCTTCAAATCTAGTTTGGGTTCTAAATCTATTTTGGGTTTCAAATCTAATTCTGGTTCAAAAGTATTTAACTCTGAATCAAAAGTATTTAACTCTGGTTCAAAAGTATTAAACTCAGGTTCATAAGTATTTAACTCTGATTCAAAAGTATCTAATTCCGATTCGAAAGTGACAGTATTTTGGTTTCTCGGAATACTAACATCCATTATTTGTGAATTATCGCAAATTTGTACTGACATATTTCCATCTTCAGGTTCACTGGGAAAATCTTCGGGTGTGAGTTCATTGAACATTCTCAACAGTGAGCCGTTTAAGATTCGATTTAATCGTTCGGCATCCAGATCAATAGTCAATGGGGGACTATTAATTTTACTATTATTCAGCTGGGATTTTATTTCACACTCAACGGCATCGTGACTCTTTTTCTTTCGTTTTGGAGTGATAGTCAATGCGTCGAAAGAATCTTCAAGTTCTTGAATGTTTGCTTTCATAAATTCATCCATTTTTCTGTTCTTTGCAACTTCAGTTGCTTTTGGTTTTCTAGGACGTCTTTGTGCTTTTTTCTTCTCTTCTGCTTTCTCTCCTGTTGCATCTTCAGTGGCTTTAACTTTCTTCGCTCTTGGTTTTGCTGGTTTCTTCTTCTTCGCTAATTTTGCACTTTCAAAATCCTCGACCAATTGTGGATAACATTTTTGAAATAAATTCTGCGGTTCTAGAGTTGCAAGTTCTGCGGGTGTTGCTGGAACATCTTCTGGAGTGTCATCCTCATTATCAGAAGTGGAAGGCAATGTCATTCCTTTAAAAATACCTTCCTTGTCTTCCCACACAATTTCGTAAGTCGCTATTCCCTTAATATTACGCGGTTTCTTTATTCTCTCAGGAATTAATAAATTTCGCATTGTTAAACGTTTATCGTCGGGTATTTCTGCTAGATTTCGCACCTGCCAACGCGTCAATAAAGGTAGAATTTTCGCGTAGGCGTATTCTGGTTCCCAGAGTACGTACATTTCCATAAATGTCTGTAATTACATATAAATTTTAATTTAGATAAGACTTTTAATTAAATAAATTATAATAAAATTAATTTTAATGAAAAATGTAATTAAAGAGAAATGAAAATTTGATAATTAACGAATTAGTGAATATTAGTGAAATAAGGAGAAAAATCGACTTACTACAAATTTGTGAACATCGGGTATTTTCCACTTCATATTTAGATTTGTAGGCACTGTATCTTTATGTTGCAAAAATTCGTTAATTAGTTCTTCACTTGGAAAGTTGTCAACAAGAAGGGTTTTCTTCCTTATTGAGAGTTCATTCGAAATTAAAACTCTCTTCTCTCTGAAATTCGAAAAGAAAATCATTAATTTTCTCTACGAAATTTACAAATTTTTTGATTAATTTTCATAAATTGGGATATAATTACTTATAACCATCATTGCATTTTGTCAAAGTTCCACAGTCGCCACATCCGGACTTAAGATGTGATCTCATTTTTCCATTATGCCCACATGTTGTACATATATTCGGATTTGCCAATTCAGTTTCCATTCTTGTAAATAAATAATCAGTTTTCCAACTCTTCATTCTGCGAAAAAAAACTCGATTAAGAAAATCTATCTATATTGATAAACGTTGCTGTTTGCTTTTTTGTTTACTAACTTTTTAAATATTTTAAATTTTTCAATTAATGTACTAGAAATCATTGAATTCATGTAAAGTATTTATCAAAAAATTAAAAAATAATTGAATTTTATGACGAATTCAATTATTTACAATAATGGTAATAAAATTCTTTAGTCATTTTATAAATAATAAAAATCTTCGTAAAAAATTCAATTATTTTTATTTAAACAATAAAATATTTATCAGAATTTCACTTATTTTCAATTCCATTTTCAAATAAACAGGAATTCAATATTTTTAAATACAATTTTAATCAAATTCTTCTCAAAAATCCAATTATTTTTTTAAATTTTGCAAAAATTCAATTCTTTTTATTCAAATTTTATTTAAATTCTTTTAAATAATTGAATAGTTTTGAAGAATTTATTTCAACATTCTTGAAAATAATAAAGTTTTTTTTAAATATTTTTTACTGAAAATTTTGAATTCAATTGAATTTTATGAAGAATTTCTATTAAGTTTTTAAAATAATCGTATTTATTGTTAATTGTAATTCTTGCGAAGAATTTTCTTATTTATGAAAATAATTGAATTCTTATGGAAGATTTTAAAATTCATAAAAACAATTAAATTGTTTCGAAGAATTTTATCTGAATTTTTGAAAATAATTGAATTTTTCGAAGGAATTATATTAAAAATTTTGAAAATAATGTTTTTTTTAAAAGAATTTCATCAAAATTCTTGAAAATAATTGAATTTACAGTAGGATCTTTCAATAGTGCAGTCGTCGGGAATATTGTGCACTGTTCGAAGCGCAAAAACTAAAACATTCAGGTCCGTGTCAAGAAAATTAAGGGTCCTCCACTACTAAATACCGGGCACCACTAAATGATACTAAATAATCCAATGAGCGACGGCACTGTATTTGACGTCACAGATTCCCTTTCCCTTTACCCCCCGAAACCCCTTGTCTACTCAACTCACTAATGACTGCACTGTTCAGAACTGCACTATTCAAAGATCCTACTGTATATTAAAATTCTTGAAATAATCGAATTTAATTAATATTTTTAAAAATAATTTTACCTGTTCTTTCGAGAAATTTTATTAAATTTGTATTGAGAATAATTGAATTCTTGTGAAGAATTTTATTATTTATGAGAAAAAGGAAAATCTTGCAAAAAATTTTATTAATATTTTTGAATAAATAAAATATATATATGTAAGTGACAGGGAAAGTTAGAAGAGACCTACGGTTCGAAAAAATCAATTGTTTAATTATTTAGTGATTCTGATAGACACAAGTTTTTTCTATAAGAATCACTAAATCAAAAAAACTGATTTTTTCGGACCGTAGGTCCCTTTTAACTTTCCCTGTCCCATATATTTAATATTATGTACTTAATAAATGAATTCTTTAAATTTTAAATCTGTAATCATTAAAAAATTGATGTTTATTCTTGAAAATATTAAATTTTTTAATTTAAAAAATAATAGCTGACTCACAACTGTTTCAATTTATTATCGAAATGTGAGAGGATTGAGAAGTAAACTTTTTTTTCCAAATATGTGAAATTCTTGATATTCATAACAATAAGGCAGCCGTTTAATTTTGTATGCTATTTCCTGTAATTAGTACTCTGTACGAAAGGGCATTGCCCGTATATTTTTCAAATAAATAAATAAATAATAAAATACGAAATGTAAATAAATAACAGTAAACAGTTATATTCCATTTACCTTTCTATTATATTAGTTTCGTTTACAACTTTAAACAGTTTGAGAGCCGCTTCCTTGCCAACGCCATTTATTCCATCATCGTAATCACAGCCACAAAGTAGAGCCAGTGCTATCATTTTATTTCTTCCTAGATCGAAAAGTCGTTGGATTTTTTCAATAGAATACTCGTCAATAGATCCACCAGTAGCTCCACCTTTTCCTTGAGCACTTGTGCAAAAATTTCTATAAACAACTTTTGCTCCATAGAGAAAACAATCGCTGTCTTGACTAATACAACCGTCTACAAGCTTTAATTAAAAAAATAATTAGAAAATATTTAAATTTCAATGCAGTTTTGTGACAAAATAAAGAATGTATTTTACCCCTTCTGCATTTAGTAAGGCACACATCGCTTCAGCTTCGCCTTGTCCACGAATACACGATATTCCCATATATTTTAGCATACTTTCGCACTCTTTGAGAATTTTATTAAAATTACCTCGTCCACCTTTTCTGTTCGATTTTTTCTGTGTAGGACCATTTCGAATTTCATTTCTCTTTGCTAATGTTTTATGTTTTAAACTGGGCGCTGTTCCTTCTAATACAAAAACAGGATACACATCATTCATCAGCAAAAAGGCAGTTCGGAAAAAGAGATTCCTGTGGAAAAAAGAGTCCAACATTTTGATTACTACAACGAAAACTTGTCTTAAAATTAATTTTTTAAATGAAAGTACTTTCATTGTAAAATACGAAATTTTTATTTTACGATTAAAGCCTTCTGTAAAAGTGTAGCTATTGTTCTGAATTCAGTAAACAAAAACAAATTTCAAAGTGAGGTTATGTCAGTAAAATGCCGGTTTCGTGCGCAAATTTTTGCAAATTGACTATTTATGTCTAAAAAATTATCAAACTAGAATACTCTCAAAATCCCCTAACAATAAATAGATAAAAATGTAACTTACCTAAGGTGCATTTTCGGTTGAATAACATTGTCAACAATAGTTTGAGAATCAACAACCCAACCACTTAAATCAATTGCAACGACTTTTCCCTGAAGTTCATATAATGGCTTTCTATCGCAAGACGGTGAAATAATATTCCACAAGTCTTTAACACCCATTTTGCATTTATTTTATTAAAACGCTTTTAAATCATCACAAATATCACAAGCATTTTAAAATCTTTTAAACTTGTTTTGTTTACTAACGAAAAAACAACACTAAACCTCTGACGACAGTTTTCGAAACTACATTCTAAAATTCTGTTTTACCGACAATGAGAAAAGCAGAGGAGAGATAACCTAAAAACAACCAGCCATCTTGAACGTTTATTCATCTTCTCGTCAGCGGTTGTCAATTCCCAGGTAATACACATTGGTCTATACATCGTACACATGCCTACGTGGAAGAGTGGAAGTACCAGAGTATTGTGAGGGAAAGTAATTTCACTTTCTATTAATTTGTGATGGCTGTGTTGATATTTCTGTAACTACAAATATCGATTTTGAACATGAGTGATACGATTCGAAAAGTGAAAAATCCTCTGCTTTCCGCGGCAGGACAAGGAAATCCTTTTGATAATTTTGGGGAAAATGCATTACTTATGCCTGTAACACCTACTACACCAGCTGTTTTAAGTGACGGTGAGATTTTTCGTTTTTGTACAATCTATATTTTTAAAGTTTACTATACAAAAAAAGATGAAAAAATTCTATTGTTATCATAACCTTCGTGACCAAGGATATTTATCATATTTATCATATAGCGGAAAAAATGGGGTTTTCTATGTCTATTGCGCAAAGCAATAAAAATAAAAACGGTAAAAACAGATGGAAAATAAATCTGTCGGTACTGCAGCTCTGGCATTTAAAATTTAAAATCCTACGTATTCAATTTAGAAAGGAATTAGAAGTGTTTTTATTTTGGTGTCAGCATATTTTGTGCTTATACGATATTTTTTTTTTTTGTTGATAGAACTGAAAAATCCCATTTTCTGTTATTTAATTTAAAATAATTTTACTATAATCAAGCATATTTTATTAAATATTTTAAATACAATATTTTAATAATAATACAATGACGTACTTATACATAAATTTCTGTTCTAGACTTGAGATTACATATTTCATTAAATATTTTCGTTTAATTACTTTAAGTGGAAAATTCAGATTATAATTCTCTTAAGTGGTACATGGAAATACAATAATTTATATTCGTCGCTTCGTATAAAAATATCAAAGAAAATTTGCACGGCTATTTCTATATTTACAATCATGAAAACGTAGGAAAATTTCGGAAAATTTAAAATCTAGTTCTTTCTGGCCTTTGTTCAGGAGATGCAGATCCGTATCTTTGTGTATACGGCAAATCCCGGCTTTTCGTTCTCTTCAGACAGTACATAATCAGTAAGATAATGAAAATTATCAATAATATCAAAAACAAAACACCCATTACAATCGCAATGATTTCTCCATCGTTCAGGTTGTCCCATTCTGAAAAAATATTTCATTTTTAAAATATCAGAAAAGTAGGTCGTATTTTTGATAAAAAGTATTTTTATCAACAACAGCGACTAAACGTAAAATTTAGAAATATTTTTTTTTCTACCTGTAACGTCTATTCTGCGATTATTGTAATTGCCGTACATATCAACGGCAGATATGTTGACAATTCGATGACAACAGGTTGCATAATAGAAAAATTTTACTTGATTGGTTGTTCCACTGATATAATCGGTTTGTGTTTCAATTCCGGATGGAGATGAGGTCACTAGTTTTAGACCTGGATTTATAGAAAATAAATATTTTATTTCTCTAGTCAATGAAAATAGTAATTTGTACTCATTAAAGATTAAACTACGGGGGAAAAAATTGAAATACCTGAATCAACATCTTGTACAGTTATGTCTACGCTCCAAATACTCTTCGAACATCTATCTTCTCTCAAATATCCTCCGCAATTATTATTGAAATAGTATTTAATAATTGGTCTCGTATCGTCGAATTTCTGAAAATATCTTTTTTTTCAATTGTCCAAATTTTAGGGGAAATCAGGGATCGAACTAGGTCCGCAAATCTCGTAAAAGTCATTTTTTTTTTTAAAAAAAAGGTCCGTAAAGTCCGTAATTTGATTGAAAAAGGACGAAAAGTTCGTAAATTGGACGATATAATTTGGAGAATTTTAGAGAAATTACAAATGAATGCAGAAATTCAATTATTTTCAAAAGTAATAAAATTCTTCACAGAAATTCAATTATGAACAAACATTTTTTTAAATTCTCGTCGAAATTTCAATTATCTTAAGAAATAATAATAATATTCTTCTCCGAAATTCAATTATTTTTAAAAATTTTGTTAAATAAAATTTTTGGCAAAATTTTAATTATTTTCAAAAATTTTCCTCAATTCAATGATTTTTAATATCTACTATTTTAATAAAATTTTCCAAAAGAATTCAATTATTTAAAAATTTTAATAAAATTCTAAGCAAACATTTAAATGTTTTCATAAAATAATAAAAATTTCACTAGAATTCAATTATTTACAAATTTTTTCGCAATAATTCAATTATTTCCATAAATAATAGAATTCTTACAAGGATTCAATTATTTTCGTAAATAATAAAATTCTTTTTAGGAATTCAATTATTTTTAACACAATTTTAATCGAATTTAAAATTCGTCAAAAGAATTCAATTACTTAAGAATTGTTTTGATAACATTCTTTATGAGAATTCAATTTTAAGAAATATTCAATTATTCAATAAATTTTTTTTTAGTATTTAAATAATAATTGAATTCTAATAGAAGTTTTTAATAAAAATTGATACAAAAATAAATTTCAGTTAAAATTTTATATTATAATTGAATATTATAAGCATTAGTGCGTAAATTTTTAGAAATAATTGAATTTTGAAAAGGTTTCAAATTAAAATCTTTGAAAATCTGAAATTTTCATATTTTTAACTAACAATTCTGTGGAATTAATTTTTTTTGAGAAACTTTAATTGCGGATTTTTTTTGAAATTATTTAAAGTTTTTATTTTCTAATATATATTTAATTAGAGAATTTACGAACAATTGAAATTTAGTCAAATTAAATTGTAAACAAATGAATTTGAAAATTAAAAAAAAAAAATTTTCAAAAATAATAAAAAATAATTGATTTAAAGAATAATTTTAGTTAAAACCACTAAGAAAATTTTTAATTTTGTAGAAGTTACAAATTTAAATTCAATTATTTTCAAGAGTAATAAAATTCTTCGTGTAAATTTAATTATTTTCGAAAATAATAAAATTCTTCTCAGGGATACAATTATTTTCACAAATAATAAAACTCATCGCAGATTTTCAATTATTTTTAATTCAATTTTAATCAAATTTCTCGAAAAATGTAATTATTCTTAAAAATTTTATTAAAATTCGTCAAAAGAATTCAATTATTTAAAAGTTTTTTTGATAAAATTCTTTATGAGAATTGAATTTTAAGAAACATTCAATTTTCAATAAATTATTAATTTATTTTTGTATTTAAATAATTGAATTCTAGTAGAATTTTCTAATAGAAATTGATTTCATAATGAATTTCAGTTAAAATTTTAGATAATAATTAGATAATAATAATACTGTGCAACAATTTTTAGTTTATTGTTTCTTTCCCAAATAAGTGTAGGCTTATAATTAGATAATAATTGAATATTAAAAAAAGTATGGCGTAAATTTTTCGAAATAATTGAATTTTGAAATTTTTTCATTGAATTTCTTTATATTATTTGAAGTTTTTATTTTTTAATTGAAGAATTTACGATAAATTGAAATTTCGTAAAATTAAATATTGCAAATAAATGGATTTGAAAATTCAAAGAACTTTTTCAAAAATTATTAAAAATAATTGATTTAAAGAAGTAATTGAATTGATAATGATTTTATTACTCGGACTGGTTATATTATTGTCAGTAATTGATCCGCAATTTTTCATGTTTGGTTCCTAAAGTCCATATTTTTAAATACTTTCACTGGTTCGAGCCCTGGAAAATTATCAAATTGTTAACTTACCCGAAGATTTGAATTCTGAATGAATAAATTAGCCGTTTTTTTTATTGTTTTTGATTCCGAACCATCAACCAGAACAGTAAGTGTTATAGGATTAACGGTGTCCGATATTCCAAGAGGTATGAATATTTCCGCTGTAACTGTAACTATTTGTCCTGGTGTCGCTAAATTACAGTATGGGCTCACCGTTAAAGGTGGACTGATGAAAAAAAAGGAAATGTTAGAATTAAAAATTCGAATTTTTTGAAAAAATTGTAAATAAATTTTTTTTTCTTACTTTGAGGGATATACTTGAACTACTTCGATGGGTGAACCTAAGGCTCTATAACACAAAATTGATTCTTTGATCTGATTGTTTTTGACATCGAAAACTATTCTAACTCTTCCTGATCCTGTTCTTATGATTAGATTACTGTCTGAGCTCACGTCAACAGTAACTAATTTCTTTTGGAAAAAACCGTCACTTGTACTTCTTGTGAGATCGTCAATTTCCAAAGATTCGTGTTGAATTCGATTTTCTATTTGTGGACCAACTAATACTTTTCTGTTATTATTAACAATCTCCTCTTTACTGAAGTCTGGAAAAGCAATTCTCGATTCTAAATTTGTCGATTGTGACAAATTTCCCGGAATCCATTTCTAATAATAATTCATAGGATTAATTATTTATTTTTATTCAGAAGTTTTTTTTGTACAATTGTTTTACCTCTTGTTCAGCTGCTTGCAAATTACGATCTTCTTCTCTGTCATTCTCATCGAGTTCAAATGATCTCGAAGATATTTGAATCGAAGATATATTCCTCGGTTTTTCGACTATTTTCTGTAAAATATATTTTTTTCCAATCAATCGAAAGTCGCTTTTGTATAATTTTCTACTTATTTCTACTTCTACAGAGAAAAACATTACGTTTCAATCTTGAGACAACATTCTTGTTATTGCTCAAAAAGAACGTCACACATTTTGTTTACCTCGTTAAATCTGCTTTCTGCAACAATTTCTTCTTGTCGCTCTTCCTTGAACTCTATAAATACGAAAAAAATTAATCTACATTATAAATTTATTGCTGTTAATTATTATCTTTATGTGGTGAAATTTTTACAAGGAAAAGATTTCAGAAAGAGAGAGAGAGAGAGAGAGAGCGAATTTTTTCTTTTTGAAATTTGAAAAGTGGGGGAATAAATTTTGCAAATAGTTTCTTGTGAGAACGTCAGAAATGAATGCATTGAAGTTGTACGTCAGTTTAGTGTGCATAACAGTGGCCAAAGGGCAATACTACTTCGCATAACAAAACGAGTTTGTAGGCTTAGTGCCAAGATCATAGCAGTTTCTTGTCGGATTTAGCACTGTCAAGAGTACAGTTCCCGCGCTTCATAATAATAACAAAAGTTGATTTATGGAAAATTGTCCCACGCGTGTGACAAGAAAATTTTCAAGTTTTCCACTTTTTCCAGTTGCGTAATTTTTCAAATGGACAACAAAGTGTAAAGTTCTTAAGATCTTTTCTTTTTGTAAAAAAAAGAACTGAAGCGTAATTAGTAGAATATTTTTTCTGTTTGATTATCATAACTACTGACCTTGAAGTTTTGAAGGAAGTTAAATGTTTTGTTGTGTAAAAAGAAAATGATTTGAATTTTAAATATTTGTTTCGATAATATTTTGCTGTGGAGTCAAATAATTATTTATAAATAAAAATTGTTGTTAAATTGTTCTTTTTCATGATCGACAAGTTTTTAAGATTTAAATTAACAAAATGTTTAGTTTTGCATTATTAAAAAATTGTATTTTATTAAAATAATGTTATTAAATTATTTTATTAAAAAATTAAATTTTTCATTTGGAAAATTCACTGTTAATTTGTTTGATTATAATAAAAATTCAATTTGAAGACGAAAAATATATAAAACTTTAGAATAAATTGTTAATTGATTCGTTTAGATTCCATTTCCTCAGGTTTCGATTTTAGTCGAGAATTCAAAAAATTGCAAAAGAATTGGAAAAACATTGGAAAATAATTAAATAACATCAATTATCTCACCGTCCGTTGCATTGTCATTGTGTTTGAAACGATCCTCTTCTTCTGTTTTCGAATCATTGAATACTGTGGCGATAATAAAATGATAATTTGAATTTTCACCGGGTGTAATTTTAAGAGACCATTCGCCCGGTGGAGGATTGCGCACATTCAATCGCAACACCATAGTTTGAGTCATGCGCTCTAAGGAACGCATTATATCCGATATTTTTCCATTTTCATTCCATTGCAAGAGTCTTTCTTGATCAACTGAAAAGTAATTGTTTTTTTCTAGTAAAAATAGTTAAAAAAATTCTCTCAAATATATATTCAATTTGTTATTAAAATATGTCATTGATTATTTTTAGTTTTAGGGAAAAGTGGACCATGTATCTAGTTGTAGATGACGTGTTCTACATATTTTCAAGATCACTTAGTGCTTTTGTTATTAATATAAAATAACAAAATTGACAAATTGTGGAATAGTGCCTTTTTTGGGGGAGAATAATTTTTTGTACGAAATTCATTGTCGATAATATTGTCTTTGACAATTATTGATCGGTTGGGAATTATTTTTCTTCTGTTAAATTTCAAGGTAGTATATGGACGTTGGAGTATGTGTACATTTTGTGTAGGATAATAGATGAAAAAAAGATAATGTGTGTTCTCAATTACGTAAGACATTTGGAAGATGATATATCGGTATTTTTTTTCACTGCGAGTATTTTTTTTTTTTCTTTTTATTATTTTCCTTTGAATGAGTCAATGGTGCACTCCGTAAATAAGATTGGATTCAAAGAACGATTGGAGACGAATTGTCTCAACGAATTGTTATGATTATATTGTTAAAAATCTATTGTTGTCTTTTGGCATCGTTTACATATTTTTTGATATGTATATTCAAAGTAGAGATTTCTCATTGTTGTCAAGAATTGAAAATACGAACTTTATTTACAAAATAGAACTTCTTTTCTTGTAATAGAAAGTTTTTGATACTTTTCCAGTATAGAAAAAGTTTGTTTTCTTACATTCTTTCTGAGTAACAATAGTTACTTAGAAATTTGATAGAAAGTACAGTTTTTGTTTCCATTTTTTGGGAAAATAAATTCAATCAGGAAATGAGTTATGAATGTGATGAATAGCAATTAGAAACTATGAATAATTCTATTCAGTTTTTTTAGTTTCTTTTTTATTGAAACAGGTGTGATTGTATTGAGGTTTGCTTGATATTTGAACTTTGGTTTGTTATGTTAACAATGTTGTTCCTATCTAATCAACGAAAGGATTGGTTTACAACATTGGGAAATATTAACTTTTGTTATGTAAAAACTGATAAGTAAAATTTTCCTTTTTATTGTTTTTTTCAATATTCTTATAGTTCGGCTAGTTACTTTCAAGTTTTTATCATTATTTTATCGTCATTTAAAGAAAGTGTGATTCTTTTAATAATTCTTCTTTAAACAAAAGAAATTCTACACAAGTAGAAAAAATCTTTTATTTAAACAATTTCTACTTTAAATAATACTTCTACTTTAAATAAGAAATAAATCTCTGTTTGAAATTTTTCTAATTCTGCCAGAAGAGATTAATCTTCCCTCTTGAGTATTTGCTAGTTTCTAGATTTAAATATATCTAGATATGTGCAGTCGATATATTTATTTTTAGAAACAACCTAATTTGCGTATACGTTCAATGAGAGAAAATTGCATCAAGACGACAGTTAAGATATATTTTTTTATAAGAAAATTTTGTTTACTTGGATGAATTGACTAAAACATTTGTTATTAATTACCTGGAATTTGGAGATCAATTTTTGAAATATTTCCCAAAACAACTATATTGAGATTGTCCACGAATTTTTTAACAGAAAATTTCTGTTCCAGTGAATTCGTCAAATTTTTCTGATCGACAAGAATTTCCTGAAAGAAAAAAAGTTTTCGAATAATTTACAACTGAATTTTGTCATAGAAATTGAATTTGAAAAAGAAGCATAAGAAGAAAAGAACATTTGAAAGATAAATTTTTTTTTAATGTAACTTTGGACAAAAAAAATGACATTACATTGAGAAAAAGTAAAGGAAAAAAAATTGCAGTTCACAGCGTGAAGTGACAACAACTCCTTAAATAATATAAACAAACTTTGATTACTTGTGATATTGATTGTGAAATTATTCTAAACAATTTGCGGATTTCTGCGTCATTTCTTTGACCGTATATGAAAAAAAACAAAGAATTTCGTTTCTTGCACAATTTTATTGAAAATCGATAATGTCGTTTGTCATATATAATAAATTATTTAATCATAATTTTTTTTAATCTTTCATTATATTTCAAATTACTTTTCTAAATTAAAATTTTTACTTACGTGAGATTTATGAAATTGTCCAGCAGTGTTTGTAAATGCTTTAAAATTCGAATTTGTCTCATTGACAAATTTCATTTCCTTGGTTAAATTATCTTTGTCCTTAGGTATATTACAATGAACAACAAAATAGAACTGTAAAAAATATAATTCGAAATAAGACTGTCTTTTTACGAAAAAAAATACAAAATTCTTACCTCGCTTCTTTTTTCATCCGAATTCGCAGTTTTTGTGACAAACGTACTTCTGTTATTGATGGGAATTGAGGCAGTAACTAAAATATTTTTTCAAATTTATTATTTGTTTAGTAGTAAAAATTTAACAGCAATTTATTTTTTATGAATTTATAAACTGGTAATAAATATTTTTAAATAATGATATCATGAAATTATAAATTATAATTATAGAGTGTGAAAATTTACACTGAATTACTATAAATCGTATTTTTTATTCACTTTAAATTGATTCATGTAATCTAATATTAGATGAACGATGAACTTCTAACACAAAGTGAATAAAAAAGTTAATCGATATCTGTAAAGATGATTAATAAATAAAAATGCTGTTGAAACTTAATTTTTTTGTTCCATTGAACTTATGCATATTGTAATATTTGTTTTAACTATCATGATTGCTAATAATATTCTTTTGAATCATTATTATTCTCTTTACTGAATATTTATTTTAAGGAAGTGATTTATGATTAACTGATAAACTTCTTTTCTTCCGGGAGAAATTGGATATAATCGTATTATTTCATTCATTGATAAACTTTCATTATTAGATCGCGTATTTTTTAATTTTATTTCTATTATCACCTGTTGAATTTTCTTCATTCGTAAATGTCCACACAAAATTCATGAAACGATTATTTTCTTCTTCGGAAATTTTCACAGTTTTCTTCTCGATATTGTACCTTAATGGAAAAAATTTCGTTTTGTAAAAATATTCGAAATTGAGATTTATAAAAATAAAATTATATTTCTGATTTATGAAAAAATTGTCAAACCTCCAGCATTTGATATTTCCCAAATAAAATTCACTGTCTTGTTGAATATCAGAATTTTCCTCAGTATTCGATTTTCGAAGTAATTTCCCGAGTGGTGTATTTTTATCAATTTTGTTATTATTTTTTAAAAGGGAAATTTGTCGATTTAGGAATCTTTTTAATTGCAAATAGTCTACATCATTAATTGAGGTATTTATTCCCTGAGTAATACACAAATTCACTGAAAAAATGAGAAGACACAAATTCACTATTCGCACGAACATTGTGATTATTCCGAAAAAAAAATGAAACTGACTAGTTATTAGTTATGAGCTCCCTACTTATAAAGTCCATAGTTAAGTATACAAAAGACAGGTCGTGTTTCATTGCGATTCTTTGACGTAAAAGTAAACCTGGGTGTCGACGAATTGCATTGCACAATTGGTCTTTTTTTCATTTCTTTGTGTAGTTACGTGTACCAGATTGTAATGTGTAAGTTTGACATAAGACAAGCATCAAAAGAAAGAAAAACAAATAGAGAAGAAGGGATACAAAATTCTACAAAAGATGTTTGTTATCTCATCCTGTTATGATTGTGTCTTGTCGAAAGTAGAAGAAATTTTCACTTTATGGATGTGCCTTTTTATCAGATCAATGTCGTTTCCTATATGTAGCCATAAAACGTCCGGTTCAATATTGACTCTCCTCAATGAAAGATTCTTGAGGAATTTAGGTTACAGAATTGTCTAAATTTGTCACGAATAGATATTGTTTGGAAATTTTGTTTCATAATTGAAAAATTTGACAAATGGGTACTGGGCAGAAAAGAGATTTTCATTTTTTGTTTAATTTTAAATTGAAAACTTTGAATCAAAATTTGTTTGAATGATTGATTTATTGGGTGATTTTATTTACAGATTTAGTACCAGAGGGACCGCCTGGACCTATCTTAGCTAATCCATTGCCTGCGACGATAAACCCAACGGTGGATTATTCATCTGGAAACACGATTTCTGCAGGTTCTTTTCAAGAAGAACAGAAAACATCGCCACCTCAGGGACAGAAGCAAAGTTATTTTACTTCTATTCTATCGTCACTGCCAAATTTATCACTGTCGTCGATTACGGGAGATAATAGTAAACAGGAAATTCAAGAAGCTCAACAAGTTGTACAACATGTGGATCCTTATGGGCAAAATCCTTACGGACCTCTTGCTGGCTCAACAAATTTTGTAACTACAAATCCATTCGAATCTTGTCCACCGACGTTCGAACCAAATCCTGTTGCTCCCCAGCAATTGCCGCCTCCTGTGACTCTTCCTCCGAGTGGTGGTTAGTATAATTTCTGTTTCAAATTGTTTATAAAGTTTTAAATGCAGGTTTCGCACTCATCTACTAAAAAAATACTATTTAATATTTTTTTTACGATTTGCTATTATTTCAATACTTTATTTTACATTTCTGACACTAAAAGCTATTTTATTCTTTTTTTGAGAATTTGCAAAATTTTAAATTTACTAATAGTTTAATAGAAATAAAAGAATTATTCTTAACAGTTATTAATTAAGTAGCAAATGTTACGCGCGGAACGTGATATTCAATTTAATATTATTATGGAAACTACAGAATTTTTTATTTTCAAATATGGATTTTTGAATAATTTTAGATTGAAACTTTAAACAAATTGAATTATTAACTAATTTACTAATTAATTATTCTTGTTTATTAATTTCAAAAATTTGAATAAAATCCTTCGCAAGAATTCAATTATTTTCATAAATAATAACATTCTTCGTAAGAATTCAATTATTTTTATAAATAGTAAAATTTTTTGCAAAAATTCAATTCCATTCAAAATAATTTCACGAAAGTATTCAATTTTTTTCTTAATTCGTTCCAATAAAAATTTTCAGTATAATTCAATTATTTTCTAAAATTTTAATAAATCCTTCGAAACAATTCAATTATTTTTATGAAAAGTAAAATTCTTTGCAAAAATTCAATTCTATTCAAAACAATTTCACGAAAGTATTCAATTTTTTTCTTAATTTGTTCTAATAAAAATTTTCAATATAATTCAATTATTTTCTAAACTTTTAATAAATCCTTCGAAACAATTTAATTATTATTTTTAATACAATTTTTATAAAAATTTTCAAAAAAATTTAAATTATTTTCTAAAATTTTAATAAAATTTAATAATTAAATGCTTAATTTTAATAATAAACAAACATGATTATTTTAAAAAGTTCAATGAAATTGTTCATAAAATTCAAGTACATATTATCAAAATTTTTTAATTAAAATTATTAAAGAGACTCCATTATTAAAAAAAAAATTCAAAGAAATTCTTCAAAAAGAATTTAAATCGGATTTTCAAAAACTTTATCAAAAATTCTTCATGAGAATTCAATTATTTTCCTAAATAATAACATTCTTCGAAGGAATTGAATTATTTCAAATAGTTTTTTCATAAAATTTGCAGAAAAAATTTTTACAATGAGGTATAAAGTTTTCACAAATAATAGTAACATTTTTTACGGGAATTCAATTATTTAAAAAAAAGTTAATAACATTCTTCACAAGAATTCAATTATTTTCGTAAATATTAAAACTCATCGCATGATTTTAATTATTTTTAATATTATTTTAAATACATTTTCAGAAAAATGCAATTATTTTAAAAATTTTTATTAAAATTCTTCGAAAGAAATCAAATATTCTTACATGTTTTGATTAAAATTTTTTATAACAATTCAATTTTAAGAAATATTTAATTATTCAATAAATTATTTATTTATAATTGAATATTTGAATTCTCGCAGAACTTTCCTGTAAGAATTAATTTAAAAATGAATTTCAGATAAATTTTGAGATAATAATTGAATATTATAAGAATATTATAATTATAAATTTTTAGAAATAATAATTAAATTTCAAAAGATTTTTAAATTGAAATCTTTGAAAATTTTAATTGTTTTAAAACATTTTTATTTTGTATAATTATTAATTTATTATTTTTCTAGAATATGATTAAAGTTTTAAATAAGTTTATTTAAAAATTTAAAGAAAAAAAAATTGAATTTTTGAAGAATTACAGTTGTAATGTTTAGAAATAGTTAAATTTAAAAAGAGTTTTACATTGGGTAAGTATATAAAATATGTTAATTATGTGGAAAAAGAAACAATGATTTAAATGCCTATTTATGAAAAATTTTCAAAAAAATTTACTTTAGAAATTTTGAAAAAATTAGTCTTTTGAAAAATGGTAATTAAATATTTTTTAAAGATAGTTGAATTCTAGTAAATAATTTTAAAAAATTAAATTAAATTTCCAATTATTTGGACATTTTATCAAGTTCAATTAAAACAAATTTTATAAAATGTTATTTTTTTTTACTTTTAAAAATTATTTTGAAATATAATCGTATTTTTGAAGAATTTAAAATTAAAATTTAAAAAATAATTGAATTTTGCAAAAATTTAGAATTGAAGTTATTATCAGGATTCAGGTAAATAGTTTTATGAAAATTAAGAAAAAGTCAGAATCAAATTTTTGTTATTTTGTGAATCGTCTAAAACAAGTTTTTTAGTCGTCAAATTTAATTTTTTAATAGCTACTTTTTAACTACTTTTTTCAGTCATAAAGCTAGTTTTCGCTACTTTTTTAAAATTAATTATCGAGTGTGAAGCCTGTAATTTTTAAACGAAATAAATTTTATATTTATAAATATTGAGATATTCATAATTAGTAGAATATAAGTAAGATAATTTTTAGGCGCAGGATCATATCGACTTGGCAATCAAAGGCGACTGAAGTACGCACCACCTCCGGATTTGACATCGAATACTACGAAGCAATATCCAGGACCAACGGTTCCTGTTTTCCCCCCTCAAGTCACTTTTCCACCTACTCAATTTTTCAATCCAAACGCAGCTCTCCCAAGTGAAAATTTCAATTCACCGTCATCGCAAATAAGCACAGGACCTGCCTCGAATCAAGAAAGTGCCATTCAAAGTCCTTTCAGTAACATTCCAACTGTAACAGCCACAAGTTCCGCTAGTTTTCAAACCCCAGTTTATTCTCCGCCGAAAATTGGATTATTTTCTTCTGCACCTGAAGCAATTCCCGCACGTATTCCCGAACCTCTAACCCCACAGAATACACCCGCAGGCACTGGTTTTTCCAGTTTTGCCGCCTATGATAAATCTCCGTTCCTCTATCCCGGAAGTGGAGTCAGTTATTCAGGACCTGTTTTCGATCCGATAAACACAGAGCAGAAAAAAGATTTCTTCAAGGAAGGATTGATCCATTCTGAAGGACTGCAAAATTTATCGACCAACATTGTCAATGATGATAAGACCTTCACTCCAATTTCTGCCGCTAAAGTTAGTGAGAAATTAGAGCACTTAATAGCCGAGCAAAAGGAGGAATTATCAGCGCAAAAATCCAGTGATTTATCCACAGACGTTTCGGACATTACGTCACGAATTCTTTCCGAAGATAAACTAACTGATTCCAAAAGAGATTTCACTGATTTGACGAGCAGTTTTGATAAAGATCAGAGTAAGTCATCAGAAGTGCTCACCGAAATTGATTTAAATGCACCAATTACGGAAATTTCTCTCTTAAGACCTGAACAAAGTTTCAACACGAATTCAGTGACGAATTTATCAACAGCTAATTTTTTCTTGGGTGATCATCATTCAAGTGTAAGTGTGAAGCAATCAACGACTGTTGAGAGTTCAGAGATACCGACTTTTTTTAATCCTTTGAGTCATTCAAATCAAAGTGCTCCTCAGTTGATCAGTGTTGATCAAAATCTTCAGTCTGGTAATTCAGCTTTCTCGAGTGTTTTGAATGAACCATTGGCACAGGTGCCTTCTCATTCAAATTGGAGTATTAATCAAAGTTCACAGCCTACCGTGAATCCTACTTTGAATCCAATTTACGCTGGTCCTCAAACAGCTCCTACATTCTATAATCCAAATCAATTTACGAATCAATTCAGTCAAGCGAGAAATGATCCCTTTGCTAGTTTATCATTTCCTCAACACGATGTCCAGAGTTTGAGTGATAGTGTCACTAATGTTGACGTCACTTGTGGTTATTCGCCTTCATCTACAATTGGTGTTCTTCCACAATCAACAGGAACAGCGACGCTCAATCCTGTTCAAACGTCAGTGAATCCTATGAGTCGAGTGACGCAAGGCACTGTGCCACCTAGTCTGGAAAATTTGGTGAGTCATGAATCATCTGTTAGGAAATTTTTAAATATATTCTTCTACAAATAGTAAAAAAAATAGTTCAGGGTTGCCAAAAATCAGGGAATTCAGGAGAAGTAAAATTGGTCAGGGAATTTTATTAAAATTACTGGAAAAATATTAAATTATTAGAATTTATAATAACATTCTGGATTTTGGTGTTCAGCAGTCTTTGAAAATATTAAACAGATTTCATTCTTCTTGAATCTTTTTTTTGTTTGCCTTTCAAAATTTGAAATCACCACGAATTTTAATACAAAAACTTAAGGTTTTTCTATTTCTGACAATAATTAAACTTTACAAAATATAAAACTGAATTTATTTTAAATAATTTAATTCTTAAAGAACTATCATAAAGTTATTACAAATTACAAAATTTTTTTATTTTTAAATATCAACTTCAGTTTTTGAACACTTTTAGATTCAAAATTTATAAAAATTCACTTATTAACTACAAAATCTTATTATTTATAATTTATCTTCTAAAAATTTAATAAAATTCTGCGAAACAATTCAAGTTTTTAAAAAAATTTTAATAAAATTCTTTATAAGAATTCAATTATTTTTATAAATAATAAAACTCTTTTCAGGAATTCAATTATTATCAATACATTTTTAATTAAATTTTTCGAAAGAATCCAATTATTATTTTTACTAATTTTAATAACATTTTTCATAAGAATTCAATTATTTTTATAAATAATAAATTTCTACGCATGAATTAAATTATTTCCAATTTAATTTTTATAAAATTTCTCGAAAGAGAAAAAAAAATTGTAATAAAATTCTAGGAAAATTTCAATTAATTCGAAAAAAGTTAAGAAAATTCAATAATAAAATTTCTAATTGCAATTCTTTTAAAAAATCGAAAGAAATTCTTCATAAAATACAATTGCTTTCAAATTTCATGAATTAAATTATTTCCAATTTAATTTTTCTAAAATTTCTCGAAAGAATTTAATTATTTTCAAAAATTGTAATAAATTTTCTGGGAAAAATTCAATTAATTCGAAAAAAGTTAAGAAAATTCAATAATACAATTTTTAATTACAATTATTTTAAAAAATTGAAAAAAATTCTTCATAAAATACAATTGCTTTCGAATTTCATGAATTAAATTATTTCCAATTTAATTTTTATAAAATTTCTCGAAAGAATTTAATTATTTTCAAAAATTGTAATAATATTCTAGGAAAAATTCAATTAATTCGAGAAAAGTTAAGAAAATTCAATAATCAAATTTTTAATTATAATTATTTTCAAAAATCGAAAGAAATTTTTCATAAAATTCAATTGCTTTCAATATTTTTAATTAAAATTAATTATTAAAGAAACTACATTATTTTCAAAAACTTAAAGAAATTCTTCAAAAAAATTCAATTCTTTATTACCTAAAAAATAATAAATAATTTTAATAAAATTTAATAATAAAATTATTAATTACAATTATTAAAAAAACCAATTATATAAAAAAAAATTAGCGAATTCGAAAGATTTAATTATTTTAATATTTTAATAAAATTTCTAAATTGAATTCAAATATTTTAAAAAAATATGTAATAAAATTTTAAGACGAATTTAAATATTTCTTAAATTTCTTTTAAAATTCAGTAATCAAATGATTAATTACAATTATTAACAAACACGATTATTCTAAAATAACTTGAAATTTAGTTTTAATAGAGTTGCGTTTACAATTTTTATAAATAATTGAATTTCAAATGGTTTGAAATTAAAGTTTTAGAAAATTTGAATTTTAAAAAATTGTTATTAAGAATTCTAAAGAATTTAGTTTTTTTTAAAACCTTATTTATTCAATTTTTTATATTAGTTGAATTATAATTTAATAATTTTTATAATTTCATTTAATGGAAAAATTATCGAATAATTTAAATTTCATAAAATTCAATTGTAATCAAATGGATTTCGGAACTATTTTAGATGAACTTTCTGTTCTTTAAATAATTGAATTTTCAAAGAACTTTAACAAAACTTATTAAAAAATAATTAATTTAGAGAAGAATTTTAGTTGAAAATTCTACAAAGTACCTAATTGAATTAAAATCACAAAAATAACTTTAGAAAGCAAAAATAGTAATTTTTATAAATTATCATATTATTATAATTATTATCGTGGAAATTTTTAAAGATCTTAATTCTATGAAAAAATAAATCAGGAAAAAGTCAAGAAAAAATAAAATTAAACTTTTGTGGAAACCCTGTAGTAGAAAAATAGAAAAAACTTCCAATAATTAATTTATTTTTGATACTTTTATTTAAATTTTTTTTTTAAATTTGCAGTAAAAGTATTTGTGGTTTTAATTATTATTTGGTAATTTTCAGGCTGTTGGACCAACAGAAAAACGAATGCAGTACAGACCAGTATACCACCATTGGTTTTTCCGAAAGGAAGTCGAATCCAAGGTATTGTGGGTTCCACTTTCTATGCATGACAGTTTAAATCTAGAGGAGGTACACAATTCAAATGAAATCAGTCCGGAAACTAAGGTAGCAACCGACGGTGGTCGTTACGATGTTGACATTCTGAGACGTGAGAGAATTCCGATTTATTGGCCGGGACCAGCAACGGAAGTGAGGAGATGTTCTTGGTTTTATAAAGGATCTTCCGAATCAAGATACACACCTTATGAAGAAAGTGTAGCTGTTAAATTCGAGGAGGAATATAAACAGGCGTGCAATAATAATAATTGGAATCGAAAAATCGACTTGAACAATGGAGAGTATATTATTTTCCACAGTCCCACAGTCCAAGTTCACTATTTGGAAACGGCCTCGCCGGAAATGGCTGTCCCAGTGAGTAGTTTACTATATTCTCAATCTACCTAATTTTGTGCTTGAATTATGTTTTAATTTTCTCTTTGATCAGAAAGGAAAATTTTTATAAGAAACTATAGGAAAATTTTAACTTTTAGTTTAAATTACATTTTTAGTTTTTTATTTGCTTATTTTATTTTTGTTTTATTCTTTGCTTTATGTCTTATTTTAAAAATAATTTTTAAAGCTTGTTTTTTACTCTCTGTTTATTAAATATTCGATTCGGAAGATTTGAGGAGAATTACGTGGAGACTTAAATTCAATATTGTAAATTAATTTGAAAACAAGAAATTATTTATAATACTGATTCACACGACTCATTAGTCATGTGAATCATTTTTATAAATAATTGCTTATAGGAAATTTTTTCGCTGATCAGAGAGGAAATTGGAGATAAAAATTGAATAATAATTTAAGAATAACATTTCAACGATTCAGAATATAATGGATTGATAAGAATTTTTAACTAATTTTCTCAGATTTGATACGATTATCTTTCAGATTTTTATTTCTTTAATACTCGCACCACCTAAATTTTGAATAATAAATTAAAAATTAATTTTAATGAAAAAAAATTATTTCGATTCAAAGAATATAATTTAATTTTAAATTAAAAAGGATTAAAGGGATGCCACAGGTTAGGGAATTCAGGGAAAAGTCAGGGAAATTAGCATTGGTCAGGGGAATCAGGAAAAAGAAATTACAAATAATTCAAATACAAACCCTTCAATTTTTTCTATTTCTGATAATAATATCTTTTTAAATAACTTAATTCTTGAACAACTATCATAAAATTATTACTTATAAATTATTTAATGATTAATTTTACTTCAAAATTAATTGGATTTCAAAAGAGTTGCGTTTACAATCTTCATAAATAGATGAACTTCAAAGGTTTCAATTTGAAATTTTAGAAAATATCAATTTTTAATGAATTTAAATAGAAATTTTAAGAACTACTGATTACAGAAATTCAATTATTTTCAAAAATGATAAACTTCTTCGAATAAATTCAATTATGTTCAAAAATTTTTTTTAAATTCTGATTAAAATTTCAATTATTTTTATAAATAATAAAATTCTTTTCCGAAATTCAATTATTTTCAAAAAATTTAATAAAATTCTGGGCAAAATTTCAATTATTTTCAAAAATTTTCCTCATTTCAATTATTTTCAATATCTACTATTTTAATAAAATTTTCCAAAAGAATTCAATTATTTAAACAAAATATTAATAAAAATTTCACAAGAATTCAATTACTTATCAATTTTTTTATAAATTTCTTCGCACCAATTCAATTATTTTTAATTTTCTAATGAAATTTCACGAAGGATTTTAAATATATTCAGAAAATTAAAAAAAGAATAGTTCTGAGAAATTCAATTATTTCGAAAAATTTAAATAAACTTCTTTTAAAAATTCTATTATTTAAAAAAATGTTGACAAAATTCTTTACAAGATTTAGTTAATAAAATTGCAATTTTAATAAAATTTTCCTAAATAATTCAATTATTTTGAATACAATTCTTCTTAAGAATTCAATTATTTTCACAAATAATACATTTTTTATGGGAATTCAATTATTTAAAAAAATTTGTATAAAATTCTTCATAAGAAATCAATTATTTTCATAAATAATAATATATTTTTCTCGTGAATTCAATTATTTAAAAAAATTTGAATAAAATTCTTCACAAGAAATTAATTATTTTCATAAATAATAATATATTTTTCTCCGGAATTCAATTATTTTCACAAATAAAATTCTTCACAGGAATTAAATTCTTTAAAAAAATTTTTAATAAAATTCGTTGCAAGAATTGAATTATTTTCATAAATAACAAAACTTATCTCAGAATTTCAATTATTTAATTTTTGTACAATTTTAAATAAAATGATAGAAAATTGCATTTATTCTTAAATTTTTTTTAAATTCGGCGAAAGAATTCAATTATTTAAAAAAATTTTTGATAAAATTCTTCATAAAAATTAAATTATTTAATAAATTATTTATTTTTGTATTTAAAAAATTGAATTCTCGCATAATTTAGTAATAAAAATTGATTAAAAAATGAATTTCACTTAAAATTTTAAATTATAAATTAATATTGAAAGCATTATAGCGTGAATTTTTAGAAATAATTGAATTTTGAAAAGGGTTCAAATTAAAATCTTCGAAAATTTGAATTTATAGTTACAATATTCTGATGATAAAAAATAATGATTTTATCACTCTGTCATCTTGAATTTCTTCATGTTTTATAATATTTTTCTCAAAAGTTATTGAATTTGAAAATCTTAATTCCTATAGAAAAATAATAGGTAATGATGAAATATTTATTTAAAAAAGAAATTATTGGTGTTTTTGAATAATTTTACAATTAAAGAAATTCGTAAATAAATGTAATAGAATTTTTTTGAAGTATTTAATTATTTTTAGAGTGAATCAGAATATTCTTTAGATTCAGGAAAAAAGTCCAAATTTTGTCTGGAAATCAGGGAAAAACAAAATTAAATTTTTATGGTAACCCTGGATTAATTAGAAAAAGAAGAAATATTGAAATGTTATATAAATGGAAAATTATAATTTGCAGGATAATCGAGCGCCTTTTTTTGTGACAGTTTTAATTTTTCTGTGAATTTTTATTTCTTTGCACTTGCTTCTCATTTTCAATCATTTTGTTAACTCTTCACTCATCTTTGATGTAACACACGCACGTTCCTGTTTGAATCCTGACCTATTCAGGGTTCAGAGGACAGTACATATTTACAGGGAAGCAATAAGAGGCCCAGGGTCGTGAAAAGAGGAGTCGATGAGTTTCATATCGAGGAAGGCGAGCCTGAGAAAGTGGATCACCTTTTATTCCTGGTACATGGAATCGGCAGTGTTTGCGATTTGAAATTCAGATCTGTCGAGGAAGTTGGTGAGTTAACTGTAAAGAAAAATACTACAAAATTCTATTCTTTCTAATAAAAAATTAACTAATAAATAAAGCTCTGTAATCTTAATAATTGTGGAATTATCTGCAATTTGAATTATATGTTGAATTATCTGTTTACAATTTGTTTTATTTACACTGACAAAATGTTTAAATTTGAAATTAATTTTTCTTTCGCAGTTGATGAATTCCGAAGTATCTCTTTGCAATTAGTGCAATCACATTATCGATCAGCGAGCGATCATGGTGTAGTGAATAGAATAGAAGTCTTACCAATATCTTGGCATGCGACTTTACATTCAGAGGATACTGGAATCGATAAAAAATTACAAGCAATCACTCTTACGAGTATACCGAAACTTCGTCATTTCACAAATGACACGTTACTCGATATTCTCTTCTACACGAGTCCTATTTATTGTCAGACTATCATGAGAGCCGTGGGCAGCGAACTAAATCGTCTCTTCTCTCTGTTCAATGAAAGAAATTCGAATTTCAATGGAAACGTTTATTTAGGAGGCCATTCATTAGGAAGTCTAATTATCTTCGATCTTCTCTGTCATCAGAATCCACCTCCGGAGGAGAAACTTGATGACATTAAAGAAGTGAGTATAATTGAAATTGAAAATTACTTCTTTTGGATGTGGGATTTTTTTATTGAATTAATTTCAATACATTTGTCGAATTTTTCGAAAATTGGTTCAAAAGATTAAACTTTTTCCATGATTGCTTGTCTTAATAGGAAGCTGAGTGTGCCGGATCGGAATCGTTAGCTTCCGTGAAGAAGAAGAATTTGAGCAGAAAAGTGAGTTACGTTATGGGTGCGGCTGGAACCGGACAACCATACATTCACTATCCTCAATTGTCATTTCATCCACAAGCCTTTTTCGCTCTTGGAAGTCCAATTGGAATGTTCGTCACTGTCAGAGGGATTGATACACTCGGAGAGGATTTCACTTTACCAACGTGCCCGGCATTCTTCAACATATTTCATCCCTTTGATCCAGTTGCCTACAGAGTCGAATCTCTCATTAGTCCTGAAGCACATAAGTTCCGGCCTAAACTCATACCGCATCACAAAGGCAGAAAGCGAATGCATTTAGGTAAAAACAAAATTCAATCCATTCTCAAGTAGGATTTTTTATTTATCTTTAGATATTTTTTTTCCATTTCTTCATATATTTTTGTCCTGGTTTCTTTATATATTTCTACCATTCTATTTTGAATTTTCCTAATTATTAATTCGACCAAGTGATAGAATCAATCTTATAATTTCATTGGTGTACGTTTGTTTGGAATTGTTGAAACAAAATTGTTATAAATTATTTGTAAGGGTGGCCACGCAACCTGGAAATGTCAGGGAATTTTATAAACGTGGAAAAGTCAGAGAATTTTGATCGGAATAATGGAAAATTATTATTTTCTAAAGTTATTGTGTTTATTCTTGAAGTCTAATTTTTCTTAAATATTTCAATATTAATTCAATTTTAAAAGAGTTGCGTTTACAATTTTCATAAATAGATAAAGTTCAAAAGGTTGTAATTTGAAATTTTGTAAATTTCAATTTTTATTGAATTATTCAAATAATAAAAATTTCACAGGAATTCTAATAGAAGTTACAAATTGTTCATAAATTTCTTTGCAATAATTCAATTATTTTCATTAATAATAAAATTTTTTAAAGAGATTCAATTATTTTTATAAGTAATAAAAAACTTTATAAGTTTTCAATTATTTTCATAAATTAATAATAAAACACATCGTCGAATTTCAATTATTTTTAATACAATTTTAATAGAATTTCTCGAAAAATATAATTATTTTTTTAAATTTTATTAAAATTCATCAAAGAAATTCAATTCTTTTAAAAAGCCTTCCTATAATTTATTTATTAGAATTTAAGTATTATTGTCAATAAATTTTTAATTAAATTTCTTAAAAGAATTAAATTATTTTCAAAAATTTTAATGAAATTCTTTTTAACAATTCAATTATTTTTCAAAATTATTTTAATAAAATTCTTCGTAGAAATTTAATTAATTTCCATAATTTATCAAAATTCAATTATTTTCAATATCTACTATTTCAATAGAATTTCACAAAAGAATTCAATTAGGTATTTAAAAAGAAATATTATTAAAAAACTCGTCTCAAGAATTCAATTATTTTCCAAAGTAATATAATTCTTCGCAGAAATTCAATTATGGTCAAAATGTTTAAAAAAAATTCTCTTCAAAATTTCAATTATCTTTATAAATAATAACATTTTTCTCCAAAATTCGATTATTTTTAAAAATTTTAATAAAATTCTTGGCAAAATTTCAATTATTTTTAAAAACTTTTCTCAATTCAATCAAATTTTTTTACAGAGATTCAATTATTTTTAATACAATTTTAATCTATTTTCTCGAAAAATGAAATTATTATTAAAAATGTTATTAAAATGTGTTAAAAGAATTCAATTTTAAAAAACATTTTATTCTTCAATAAATTATTTATTTTTGTATTTAAATATTTGAATTTTCGTAGAATTTCCAGTAAGAATTGATTTAAAAATGAATTTCAGTTAAAATTTTAGATAATAATTGAATATTAAAATCTCTAAATTTGAATTAGTAAAAATGTTTCTAATTTGAATTAGTGACTGGCTTTTTGCTGTTGAATTAGCAGATTTTACTAATAAATAGTCGTTTCAACTAATTTAATATTAAAATTTACTAATTCAAAAGCAAAAAGTCATTCACTAATTCCAATTAGTAAACATTTTTACTAATTCAAATTTAGAGAGAAAGTATTATAGCGGGAATTTTTAGAAATAATTGAATTTTGAAAAGGTTTCATATTATAATCTTTGAATGTTTGAATTTTTTATACTTTTAATTGAAAATTGTGTAGATATAATTTTTTGAAAAAGTTTAATTGAAGTTTTTATTCTCTAATATATATTTTATTGAAGAATTTACGAATAATCGATGAAATTTCGTAAAATTGAATTGTAAACAAAAGAATTTGGAAATTTTCAAAGAAATTTTACAAAAATTATTAAAATGATATTATTATAATTACTTTAAAGAAGAATTTTTGTTAAAAATTCTGGAAAACAATAGTTGAATTGAAGTGATGAAAGTAATTTTGAATAAGTTACAGTGACAATATTTTTATAATGTATAATAATGATTTTATCAGTCGGTCATTTTTTTTCTTCATGTTATAATAATTTTTTACAATTAATTTTGTAAAATATAAATGTAGTTTTAAAAACCTGGAAAAATTCCATTTTTTAACCTGGAAAAGTCAGGGAATTTGAAATGAGCAAAAGCGTGGCAACCCTGAAATAATCTTTCTTCCATTAATTAATACAAATAAGTTTTCTTTAGTAAAAATTAATGAAATTTTCAGAATTAAAAGAAACAATGGCACGAGTTGGCGCTGATTTGAAGCAAAAGTTTTTGGACTCGGTCAAAAGTACGTGGAACTCGGTCTATCAATTGGCAATGTTTCATAAACCGGATAATCAGTCTCTTGAGAAGGAAATCGATAAAGTCGTTGAAGAGCAATTAATTCATTCACCAAGTGAACCTGAGTTGCAGAATGAGGACGGCGGAGATGATATTAAAGTGGGAAATCTCAATGGTGGTCGAAGGATCGATTACGTACTTCAAGAGGCGCCTTTCGAGTACATAAATGAGTACATCTTTGCACTGACAAGTCACGTTTGCTATTGGTTTGTTGCTCTTCAAATATTATTATTTTCCTTTCTAATTAATCCAGAATTTTTAATTAAGATTATTATTTTTCAGTTACTAAATTTAATTTCTAAATTTCCTTAAAATAAATTATTCTAATTTTCATACTAAAATTTTATGTTCTAAACTTAAAAGAAAATTATTCTTATTATTCTTTTTATTTTGAAGAAAATGTGAAATTTTTCTAAAACTAAAACTCTTTTCGCAGGGAGTCGGAAGACACGATGCTGTTGATGCTTAAGGAAATTTACGGCTCAATGGGCATTCAGGCAGATGCTCAAATGCCGCAGAATATTACGATTGAAAGAGTTTCCGCACCATCAACACCAGGACCATCGAATTCATATCAAAATAATTTAACGTCACCATCATCCTATTCTGGTGTGGATCCAACGGCACCAATGAGCAATAAATCCGTTGGTCCCCCACCAATATCTGGCTTCGTAAGAAAATCGTGATCGACACCCTCTCAATTATCTCACACCTCGAAATACGCAAAACATTCCTAATTGGCCAAATATTCGGGGAAAACTTCACTTTAACAGGAGACTACAGAGAGTAATATATATATATATATATACTGGAGAAAACGAGATAAGTATCATAACTTGGAGTTAATATTGTGATAAATTGACCTGAGTCATTAAAATATTCAAAGTGAAACATACAGACATTTAAGTATATTTAAATCAGTATGTTTTTTTATATTTAAAAGTAAAAAAATATATAATATATGAAGTGAAATATATAAAATATACGAACTACATAATATAAATAGATAAAGTGAAATATATAAATAGAACTAAAAAAATAATACAGAAAATATAAGTACAGAAGTGAAATATATATGAGAACTAAAAAACGAACTAAAAAAACGCAAAGTGAAAAATATAAAAAGTGAAATATATAAATCTATATAAAATTTAAATATCAACGAAGTGAAATATAATAATAAATCTTCCAATAAGACACAAATATCGAATTGTGTGCGAGAGAATGGGAAAGTGTTAAAAATAAGGGAATGCGAATGAAAAAAAAAATTGTACATAAGGAAAAATTCTTCAATGTACCATGCTTTCAGTATGTTTTTTTTCATATAACTGGCATGGTGTACATATATTTTAATAAATCATTGTATTCTTTTAGAATTCAAGGATTTTGTGTCTCCTTATCGATAGCATTGATTTTATTTTAGATTTGATAATTTCGAAGTGGAAAAAATTGTTTGATTGAAGGATAGAGAAGAGTTTTCTAATTTGATTTACTGAAGGCTGAGTTTCGTGAAAGTGGAATTGATCCGTTCGCGTTGAGATAAAGAACTTAACATCGTCCCATGAGCGGCGTTACGTGTCCGCCCGGATCGTCGAACGGGCGTCACCTTATCGCGAGGGTTGTTTAGCCTCTACTCTAGACTTGTGGCGGGGGTTTGGAAAAAAAAAGAGTAAAAAGAAAAAAATACTTCGGCACATGCACAAGCAGAGGGTATCACGAAACGCTAATTAATTGCGGTGCAAGCCTCGCCGGTTGCTGCTTTGCATTTTGCGTGCGAGCCTTCGTAGGTTGTCAGCTGAGCGAATTTCATGATGATTTATCGCCTTTGCAAAAGTTACTTTTTCGCGATACTTTGCTACGACTTCGTCCGCCGCAGACTTTGACTGCAAATCGAGCAATTTTCTCGTATAATGACAAATAAGTCTTTCTCTGCAACTCCTTTTTTCTGTTGTGTTGCCTTTGCTTTCTTTGTTTATCGCTTTTTTTGCTTCTCTTTGTTTCTAGGTAGAATTTTCAAAATAATATTTTTTAAATCAAATTTGATTTAATTTTATTTCTGAAATTGTAATTACGTTTGAAATGTAATTTTAGAGTGTGTGAAATTTCTGGGTGTGACAGATTTTTTCTTTCGATGATGATGAAAAAAAAGATGTAACTGAAAATAACACGTCTTTCCCATTAGAAAAAGTGTAAAAAATCTGACATGGCTAACATTGAATTTTATATACAATACAGAGGGACTTTTGAATAACGAAATGGACATTTACCGCATATCGCATTCTGTTGCTGAACTGGGAAATAGGAATGTTACGAGATTTTACAACAAGCTTTTGCGAAGAGTGATTTATATCAGGAAAAACTCAGCGTTTTACGACAGCCACTCGCGAATTATTTACAGCACCCGTGACCGTCTTGAGTGCCGCCGTCTCACTCTCGAATTTCCTTCTCCCATAAATAAAACTCGCCTACAAAAAGCATCTAAATCTTTTCTCTTAAGAATTTAATTTTCCGTCCTGCATAAAACCCTTCGCGATTAATTCTCACCGTTTTCTCGTGTACTCGATGGCTTATTAGTGACGAATAATCTTATAAAACTGTACCATCTGTTTGTATGCAGTTTTATAACTTTTGAGATTTTACTACGAAAATGCAAATTACTGTTTTGAAGAACTAATAAATATTAGAGTTTTTAAGAAGTTTTTAAGGAACGATAAATAATATTTTCTGTCAATTTATGATGACAGAAAAGTGGTAGGAGGTTTTTTTTTTTTTTTTAAAAGTTGTTTTTCTTTTTCGTCTGTTATTATTTATTCTTTTAGTCGTTCTTCGTTACTCTCAGTATCTGAGAACTTCTATTAATATTAATTGAACTTGGGAAAGATAATTTTACACTTTGAGACAATGGAAAGAGTTTCTTGTACCTCAAAAGTTTGTTTCGATGAACTTTTGCGTTTTATGTTTCTTCATTGGGAAAAGTAGTTGTAGAATTATATTTTTATAATTATTAAATAAAATTAAAAGTAGAATAATATTAAGAATAAAGTAAATATAAAAATTAAAGTAAACAAAAGAAATAAAGAAAAATAAAATATCATAAAATAATCAAAGGACAAAATGAACATAAAAATATTACAAAAAATAAAATAAACATAAAAAATAAAAGAAATATAGTAATAAAATAACCATGATAGAGATGAAATTTTAAATTATTTAAACAAATGATAATATTTAATAATAAATACCTAATTATTTCCAAAAATTGTTATTAATATTTAAATAATTTTGTTTAAAATTCTAGAAATATAACTTTCAAAGGAATTTGATTTCTATTACTTAAGGATTTGAATAATTTTTAAAAATTTATTAAAGAATTATTAAATTTTTTGAAAATTTCTGTACCTAATCTAATTAAAAAGAATTAAATTAAAAAAAGAATTTTCCACATGTTTTTGAAAAAGTCGAATTTTTTAGAAATTTTAATTGAATAATTGGTACATAATTTTTGAAAATAATCGAGGGAAGTTTACCACAATACTTTTTAAAAATAAATTTTTTCAAAGCTAATTGAATTTTTATATAAACAAGTATTTTAAATTTTGGAAATAATTGAAAGTTTATAAAATTCTATGAAAAATAATTGAATTTTTTTAATTTTATTCAAATTCTTGAAAATAATCCAGATAATTTCGTCAAAATAATTTTTTTTAAATATTTCAGTTTTATTTATTAAAGATAATTAAATTTTTATAAACAAACAATCTATGAAAAAAATTGAAATATTAAAATAATTTCATTTAAATTCTTGAAAATAATCGAAAAAAGTTGTCCACAATAATTTTTAAAGTACTTCTGTTCTATTTATTCAAAAATTTCTATAAATTTCTATAAATAAAAATAAAAATTTTTTAAATAATTGAAATTTGCTAAAATTCTATCGAAAAAAATTGAAATTTTAAAATAATTTTATTCAAATTCCTGAAAATAATCGAGAAAAGTTCGCCTTAATAATTTTTTAAAGAAATTCAGTTCAATTTTTTCAAAGATAATTGAATTTCTATTAATGAGTAATTCAAATTTTTGAAATAATTGAAATTTGCTAAAATTTTATCTAAAAAAAATTGAAATTTTAAAATAATTTTATTCAAATTCCTGAAAATAATCGAAAAAAGTTCGCCTTAATAATTTTTTAAAGAAATTCAGTTCAATTTTTTCAAAGATAATTGAATTTCTATAAATGAGTAATTCAAATTTTTGAAATTTTTGAAATAATTGAAATTTGCTAAAATTCTATCCAAAAAAAATTGGAATTTTTAAATAATTTTTTTCAAATTCTTGAAAATAATCGAGAAAAGTTCGCCTTAATAATTTTTTAAAGTATAATTCAGTTCAATTTTTTCAAAGATAATTGAATTTCTGTAAATAAAAATTGATATTTTTTAAATAATTGAAATAATTGAAATTTGCTAAAATTCTATCGAAAAAAATTGAATTTTTTAAATAATTTAATTCAAAATCTTGAAAATAATCGAAAAAAATTCGCCTTAATAATTTTTTAAAGTATAATTCAGTTCAATTTTTTCAAAGATAATTGAATTTCTATAAATGAATAATTAACATGTTTGAAATAATTGAATTTTCTTAAAATTCTATTCTATAAAAAATAATTTAATTTTGTTTAAAGAATTTTATTGAATCTCTTGAAAATATAATCAGGATCAGAGTAAAAGTCGAAATTCTATAAATCAGGGAAATGTTAAAACGAAGAAAAATCATATTTTTGTGACAATTCTGATAATATCAAAATTTGTATAAAAAATTTTCTACATTTCGTATACATATTATATAAATTTTTTATCCAAGCTTTTTTTCCCCCTCATTTAATGGATTTTTCGTGTTTCACCTTCTTTTTTTCCAGCAGGTATGATAGAATTGCATGCACCACGAGATGATCAGAGGAAAGTATTTCGTGCAGCGTAACAAGGCACACACACCGCAGGGATGAGCTTTCTTGTTCTTCGTTGATGACTTCATATCGCGAGACGAGGTTCGAGGAAAGTTCACCTGACGCTTATGAGTTCAATTTCTTTCCTCTTTTAAGAGAGATAGTCAAACTTGTTTTTTGCAGATTTAATCAAAAAGACGTTTCATCAATAAATTGTAGGGATTTTAAAAAAAAGGAAGGGAAAAATCAAATTATTCAATTTTTTGTTAAAATATTAAATAAAAGTGAAGAAAAAGCTTTTCTTTTATGATTGCCTTTTCTTCTGTAAAATACTAAACTGTTTAAAAATGCAAGTGTAAAGTAGTAGAGCTCGATTTATGAATTCATTTTCTTTTTAGAGTTTTTTTTTCTTATACTAATAGTTTCATTGAAAATTTATTCTCTAAAGTCTACGCTATTTAGTTTTTATGGGAATAATATTTTTCCACGCTATTTAAATGAGATAAAAAATTCTTATGGGTATCGAAATATAAAAATTTCTTTTTAAACATTATAAATTCAAGGCTCGAAGTAGGTTTGTGAATCCTGAAAAAGTCCGTAACTTTGCTTCAAGTCCGTAAAAGTCCATTTTTTTGAAAAAAGGTCCGTAAAGTCCGTAATTTCATTCAAAAAGGATGAAAAGTTCGTAAATTGTACGATATAATTTTGAGAATTTTAGAAAAATTACAAATGATTGCACAAATTCAACTATTTTTAAAAGTAATAAAATTCTTCGCAAAAATTCAATTATGTTCAAAATTTTTTTTAAATTCTCGTCAAAATTTCAATTATCTTTAGAAATATTAAAATTCTTCTGTGAAATTCAATTATTTTCAAAAAATCTAAAAAACATTGTCAACATTTCAATTATCTTTATAAATAAATAACAAAATTCTTCGACAAAATTCAATTATTTTCATAATTATAACAATATTTATCACACGAATTCAATTATTTTCTAAAGTAATAAAATTCAATTATTTTCAAAAATTTTAATAAAATCTATTGCAAAATTTCAATTATTTTCAAAAGTAATAAAATTCTTCGCAAAAATTCAATTATGTTCAAAATTTTTTTTAAATTCTCGTCTAAATTACAATTATCTTTAGAAATATTAAAATTCTTCTGCGAAATTCAATTATTTTCAAACAATCTAAAAAAAATGGTCAACATCTCAATTATCTTTATAAATAAATAGCAAAATTCAATTATTTTCAAAAATTTTAATAAAATTCATTAAAAAATTTCAATTAATTTCATAATTAACAATATTTATCACACAAATTCAATTATTTTCTAAAGTAATAAAATTCAATTATTTTCAATAGAATTTTAATCGAATTCCTCGAAAAAATTCTTAAAAATTTTATTAAAATTCGTCCAAAGAATTTAATT